TTGTTGTTCCTTTTCATGATAATGGCCATTTTAAGAGAGAATCTCAGTGCTATTTAGCTTTTCATTTCTTTTATGGCTAGAAATGTTAAGCATTAAGCATTTCTTCAGCCTTTTTTTTTTCTCCAGTACTGGGCCTTGAACTCAGGGCCTGGGCACTGTCCTTAAGCTTCTTTTTGCTCAAGGTTACCACTTGAGACACAGCACTACTTATGGCTTTTTCTGTTTATGAGATACTGAGGAATCAAACCCATGGCTTCATGCATGCTAGGCAAGCACTCACTCTTCTACTGTTTGTTTAGTGGTACTAGGGATTGAACTCATAAATTTATTTTTGCTAGGTAAGGACTCTTGAATCAGAACTGCAATCCATTGTCTGGGAAATTTACCCATGATTACCTACATTTTATTGTTGTATTCCACAAGTAATCAAGTATTCCACTTGATTAACAAAATATATTTTAATTCTTCATTATAGTGGAATCCTTTTGTACTTAGCTTCTATTGACATTCTTTATGTTGTTTTTTCCCCCCCTTGGTTGGCTGTGAGGCTTGAACACAAGGCCTAGGCACTGACCCTGAGCATTTTTGCTCAAGGCTAGCATTCCACCACTTTGAACCATAGCTCCACTTCCAGTTTTCTGGTAGTTAATTGGATGTAAGGGTCTCATGGATTTTTCTTCCCGGGCTGGCTTTGAACCAAAATTCTCAGATTTCAGATCTCAGCCTTCTGAATAGTTAGGATTACAGGCATGAGCCACCAGCTCCTAGCTATTGACATTCTTCCCATGGCTCTTGGTGGACATGCACTTTAAAGGATTGTTGGTCCAGATACCAAACTTACGTTTATATTCAGTAGCCCATATCAAGCTTCTCAGGGGTCATTAATAATGTCCTCTTTTATTAACAATTCATGAAATACCACTTTCCCTTCATCTTTCCAACACTTGGTATTAGTCCTTGAAATACTTCTCATTCTAGCATGGATATCAAAGATGTCTAATTTTATTTGTCTTAGGTTCAATGGTATGCATAACTCTTCAGTCTTTTACTGGCAATTTGGATAACCTTTTTTGTGTACTATGTGATTAAAATGTTTGCCAAGTTCTACAACTGAAGTCTTTTAAAATTTGACTTTCAAATACAGAAATGTATGCATTAGATAGATAGATAGATCAATGAAATCTCTTCACCTATGGCATGCATTTTCAGATTTCAGGTCTTTTTTTGGCAGAATTTCATTATTTTTATAGAAGTCATAAACAGCTATCACTACTTTGCATGGCTCGCTCCATATTCTCTATCACTACTTTGCATGGCTCGCTCCATCTTCTCTAATTTTGACAATTTCATTATTTATGATCTTGGTGATTTCTTGTATATCAGTATTGTTAATTATTTCAAGGTATCAATTTTATCTTTTTCTTTCTATACAAGTTTCCTTTATATTTTAATAATTTCTAATATAATTATTTTATTTGCTCATTACATATCTGAATTATATCCTTCCTTGATTTTCATAATCTTTGTACGTTCAGAAATATTCATTAATGTCTCTATACATTTCTCTTAAAACGATTTAGTTGCTTCTTACAAACTTTAAAGTGTTAATCCTCATATTTATGCTTTTCATATAACAACTTAATATCCATTCCTATATCTTCTTGTGTTTTGAGTATTGTGTTTGTGTATTTTCAATGTTTGAAAAAAATTGATTTCTTTCCTAATTTAATTTACTCAGAAAAATATTCTGAATGGAACCTGAGGATAATGGCTCATATCTGAGAGGTTGAAAAAAGATCTGGAGTTGGAAGTCAGTCTGGGCTATATGACAAAATCAAGTCTCAAAGCAAACAAAAATAACAAAGATACATGTTATGAATGATTTCAGTCTTGTTTTGTAGCTCAGGACATGTCCTCTTAAAAAAAAATCCAGGAACACTTGACAAGAATTTATATGTTGCCATGATGAGATATAATATTAGTAGTCAAGTTGATTCATTGCTTTATTCAAATTTACTGTATCCTTATTGCACTTCTTACCCCAATTTTGACCGCCAGTCATTACAAGCATGTTAGCATCTCCAAAATAAAATTGTAAATTCCATATCTTAGCTGTGGTAAATAATGCTGCGATAAGAGGCCCCTCAGTAGATGACTGAATCAAGAAAATGTGGTATATATATGTACAATGGAATTCTATGACTCCATCAGAAGAAATGACATCATCCCATTTGTTAGGAAATGGAAAATCTTGGAAAAATTATATTAAGTAAGCCAGGCCCAAAGAAACATAGGTCCCATGGTTTTTCTTATTTGTAATAACTCTTATATGTCTAGGACAAGCAGAAAAGGTCAAAAGCTATGTACATATGACCATATAAGATGATGGTAAGCGAAATGAACCCCAAGACAGGGACATGTGTTTTTTTTGTTTCTTTTGTATGTTCTTCCCCCATGGTATAATCTGTTTTCACTGTATTTGATTCCCATGCCCTGTATCTTATATATACATTTTTCTAATTTGGGGAGGCAAAGGGAATAAACAAAATGCTTAAATAGGGATACAGGTTGACTGTAACAATGAGATGTATAAGACACTATGTTGAAAAGGAACTTTACAACTTGTGAGGGGGAGGGAGGGAGGAGTTGGGGAGGTAGGGAGGAAAGGGATGATAGGGAAAAACAAAGGAGGAAGTAACAATGTTTGATAGGAAATGTACTTATTACCTTACTCATGAAACTAGAACCCCTCTGTACACTATTTTTACAATAAAAACGTATTTAAAATTGTAAATTCATTATTACTTTTAGTACTATGAATATTTTTATATTTTTCTACATATTACTAGATGACTACATTCTTAGAATTATATGTATATTTTCATGTGTTCTTGAAGCCATCTTTTCATTGTTATAAAACACCTCGATCTGATATGAATATAAATCTATGTTATTTCTGTTTCCAAGGAAGCTTTGCTTTCCAAACTGTTACTTTCAACCATTCTGAGTCCTTGCATGTTTGGTAGAAGGCTCTATTGGAAGATTAAACTCTGTGTTGGTTTCCATATTGTTTCTTCCCATGGAATCTCTAGTTTCCTCAATCAGAAAATTAAAATTCACCATGAGATGGACCTAGTACTTCTTATTGTGCTTCCTCTGATTACTGGCTCTAGTTACCAGCATTTTTGTCTTATGGTATGCTTACAACGTCTTTAAATAAGTTTGTACTATTGTTCAGGAATACAATAGTCTGAATAAAATCTAGGTATTGTTACTGGTAATAAGAGAGGGGAAATAGAAGCAAGTATCTCATACAAATTAAATCACACTGTATATACTGTTAAACATTCTCATCAATTTTTACATAATTTTATATAATGTTACACAGAACAACTGAAGAGTAAAAATTGGGTCTAGGAAAAGAACACAATAATAAAAAAGGAGACTTCTCAGCTGGGTCAATACTAGTATTATGATACTGTTTCCATGAATAACTGTCTTCAATTACATAATAATTGTTATTGACTTAAGTGTGAGCATCAAGAACACTGAACTCCCTTTTTAAATGAATAGTGTGTACTCCTCATGCTGAAGAGGAATCAATCCACCAACAGTGTCTGACAGTACAAAATTACTGTGGAATCAGTTTTACTTTTGGCACATAGTAATTGTCATCTGGAAGTTTCTCTGGTTTCTGTCAGGGTCATTAGATGGCACTGGGAGGAGATCTGCCTTTCCTGCCACTCCTCCACATAATCCAGTAATCTGCCTCTCAGTGAAACCGACCACAGGTATAAAAACAGACTTTTTTCCTTCCTCCTCTGTTTGTTTCCTTTTCCTCTTCCTCTTCTTTTGACCACTAACTTAATGCTTTTTCTGAAGGAAGAACATCCAATTCAGGAGTCATAAGATGAAGTTACAGTCAAACAGCCTTTCATTTAATTAGGACATTCCCTCTAAAATACATCTACAACTGAGTTGCTTGGATGCAAAGAAAGACTGTTGAAAGCAGGGATTACTGAGGACATTTGGAAAGAGTTGAATGTGTTTGGGTACTTAACATTTTTATTTTATGTAAGATCTCAAATATTTCCTGGAATGTCCCTGGAAACAATAATCATGTACTTAAATGGAAGATAAAAACAACTGCCATGTTTGTAAATAAATGCTAACTTTTTTCAGTTGGTCAGATGCTCTTAACTTGGTCCTTCCTTCATAATCAGTGGGTGTATATGGATGAGACAAATCTAGTAAACCTTGAGGGATATGATACCAGTGTTTCATTGTAAAAATCTATGAAGCAAGGAGAAAGTACTCAGTAAGAAATTGTAAGGTGAATACAAAGTATTTCAATTATGTTTTAAAAGAAAAGTATCCATCAATTAAAAGTATTACTTATCTAAGAACAATTTTTTCTTCTGCTATTCTCCATACACAACAGAAGCGCAGATATTTCATGGTAATTACAGTTTTCCTAAGCAAAAGTATATCTCTACTATATAGGAAATACCTTTGAATTACAAGATTATTTCAAATTACTCAAATATATTCATACAGTCTACCCAGTGGATGACAAACTAATACTGCCATTACTGGGGTAACTGTCTCAAGGTACTCTAAAATTCATAATCCCTGGCCCTAATTGCTTTAATTTATATTTAATTAAATGTAATTAAATGGTATTTAATACCATCTGTTTTACATTTAGTATTGCCAATGCTGTAAGAATTTACTAACATAGATGATGATACATTATGAACTTTCTTTGCATGTGTATGATGATAAAAATCCCTGCTCCTTTGAAACTAAATAGTAATTTGTAAGTAAATATTCAAAGATTACTATAACTGGGTTGCATTTCTCACTGTATTGATTACATGTAATGCAGACATACCTATATTACTTCTATATAAATAATTGTATATATTTTGCTAAGTGATCAAAAAATGAGAATTTGTGTTCATGGATAAGGTACTAAATTTGGAATTAATAATTACCACATTATTATTCCTTTGCTGATTATTTTTGGGTGTTAATTTCTGGTTCTTATTACACTGGCAGTTTCTCTAAGGCAAGCTTACATTAAAAATGTTACATCATGTCAAATGAACAGACAATACCATTTCTCAGGTGTCAAAGGCATACAAGCAAGGCACTGAATATTTTGGAAAGTGATAGATACATCAATAAAAAAGGAGGTAAACTTATGAAAAAGTTTGAAAGTTGCATTAAAACAAAGAGATCACATTTCATAAACAATCTGTACCTAATTTATACAAAAGCTAATGCTCAAAAATGCTTCATGATACAAAATAGACATTCCAGAAAAGTGATTTTTCTAAGTTCAATAATTTTATAGATTAAAATAAATTAATTACGATCACTGTCTTGCCTTAACAACTAAGAAAATGTATTTACTTCTCTATAACTTTAATTTACCTGAAAGCTTAAAGTTACTTAATACCTTCATTATTGCTGCTGTCAGATAAGATGATCCACAGTCTTAACTACTACCAACAAAATGTTAACTTGTTTATCATTTATTGACTCTCATTTAGTCTATGTTGACTTCTGGAAGGTTGATCTGAACTTCTACTGTAGCTTTGCTTATACCAGACAACTCTAGGAACAGACTCCTGCTTTATTATTTACCCAATATTCTTTAATACACAAGTCTCCTTACATCATCTGATTTTGGTTTTCCATTTATACATTTTTAAAGGGCAGCATCACATGACTCCATAGGCCCATCACTCCCTTACTCCCTCCCCCTCTCTCTCTCTCTTTCAAATCTTGATGGGAAAGAGATATGTCACTCCACAGAAGAACACACTAATGTACAGATGCACTGGAAAGGGAAGGGAATACTCAAGGCCCAGGTTCATTCTAAACTGCAACATGATTTCCCAGGCTCCAATTCCACATGCACTTCTGACTATCATTCACAGGACCCCAGAAAGCAATACCTGGGGAGGGCCCAGAAGATGATGCACACAAGCGGTACTCTTCCAGCATCACAAAATTGGCCTCTATAAAGGCATATAAAATTTTTTGAGTAAAAAAAGAACAGAACAGGTAAATTACATACATGGCTTCTGGCCTCTAGCCCTAAACCCAGAGAATACAGAGATAGGACACTAGCAAGCCTCTGCTTGCTCACTCGGCTGGTTAGATGGTTGATTTAGCCAGCTGGACTTTGCTCTCCTCCATCATGACATGCTTGGCATATATATTATGATTAAGTGCCCACTTCTCTTTCAATTTCTTGAGCTCAAAGTCATGTAGAATCTTGACAGTCATTAACTTTTCTTGTTTGATTTTCTCTACAACGTCTTTCGGTACATCAGGTATCATCCAGGCCAACAAAAATTTAACTAGAAATGCAATGTGCTAGAGAAAATGTAAAGGAAAAGTGGAGACACGGTTAGAATAAGAAATCCTTATAAACTGTTTTACTCATTTTGATAAGCTGTGTTTGACCACAGATATCTAATAGCAATCAAGTAGATATATAATTCCTGACCTACAGTTTTCATACAAACTCTCGCTTTTTAATATGTAATTAAAATGTAGTTCAATAATTCTGATGGAACACGGTTACTAAATACATTCTTCATCCCTGCTCCCACTTGAAAAATCTAATAATAGATTTGTAAAGGATAACAGAAACCCAAACATACACAACATACACATATTTGTATAGATGTATACACACATACATAAGTATGTATACATCTATACAAAGACATAATACTAACTTTCTGATAAACAGGACCTCTGCCTAAAGGTAGAAGAGAGGAGCTGGAAGGCAAGTGAAGAGTACTTACTTCCATAACTATAATGAAGGTCATCTTGGCAGCAAGGACATGCCAAAACTGCATACTATGAGCATATTTATGTTCATGATCAGGAGGATTCCTGTAATCTCTATACCTGGAAATTGGAAACAAATGGAGTAATTAACTATAACTTCAAGTAAAGACCTGTCATCAATTCTTTATTTTCTCCTTAACCTCACCTTCTTCCTTGCTTTTCACTAACAACAAAATTAGGTCATTGGGAGGTAATTGATAACTTAAAACATTTTCTTTATTATATAAAAGCACAGACATATGCTACTTCCCTGCAGTTTATCTCTCACAGAACATAAACCAGTAAAATGTCTCTCTTGTCCTTTAAAACAAGCTTCTCAAGTGAGTTAACCAACCTTGCCATTCCCTCTTCCTCTCTTCCTAACCTTCCACACACGTAGTTCCACCCTTCTCTGACCAACATCAATTGTATTCTGTTATTAAATAAGGGGCATCCTCTTCCTGTGTTACTAATAGGACTTGATGTGGTTCACCATTTCTATTTTTTGAAGCTCTATTTCCTCTTGGATATGCCGACACTACATTCTCCCTTTTTCATACTGCCTTTCTTACATTTGTTCATTCTCAACATTTTTTTTAAAAAAAATCTCATTCTATGCTATTTAAAGTAATTAGATCCTTCTATCTTTCAAAACCTAGTCCCAGAAAGTGATGATCTCAAGAATTCTGATAGTAGTTTAAAATTAAGGGTGGGCAAATGTAGTCATAACATTAAATGTACATATGAAAATGGAATCAGGTAAATTGAGGGAATGGGTGAGATTGGAAGAGATGAAGAGGAATCATGGAAGAGGTGACACTGAATGAGTTGCATTGTATTCACAAACTAATATGTTGAACTGAAACCCCTTTGAACAACTACTTATAAATGATAAACAAGATTATGAAAAAGAAATATGATAGTTGTACTTGCACTCTGAAAAATATGCTAAGATTATTCTATATCCAATAATGTAATATAACAATGGTTTTGTCTTCCTATATCACAATATTTTTCTCTTTGTAAGAATCCCCCAAAAAATGGGATGGGGAAGGGAAAAAACCAATTGTTTAAATAGGGATACAGGTTGACCCATTGCAACAATGAGATGTACAAGACGCTTTGTTGAAAAATGAACTTCACAATTTAGGCTGGGAGTGTGGAGTGTAATTGTGGTGATGGGAGGGAAGAGATGGTAGGGGAAAAACAAAGGAGGAGGCAACACTGCTTGATAAGAAATGTACTCATTACCTTGCCCATGTAACTGTAACCCGCCTGTACAGTATTTTCACAATAAAAAAATCTTATTTAAAAAAAGAAAGATAATAAAAAAGAATCTCCCAAATAGAAATAAGTTAAAACTTTAAGTTAAGGTTAAGATTCATCTATCTATCTATCTATCTATCTATCTATCTATCTATCTATCTATCTATCTATCTATCGTTCTATCGTTCTATCGTTCTATGTATCTACTTACCTATGATCGATCTCATGATTCAACCTATCTATCTATGACTTACCAATCTTTAAGTTCTACACTACTAATATGCTCACAGTATATGATACATTGAATGTGTACAGAGTGGTTCACATATCTTCTTTCACATTCTCTACACAGAAAAAAATCCCACTGAAACTGAATGGTATTATTTAAAGGGATTCCATTATAACTTTGTTATTCCCCCTTCTCATTCAATCTCTTTGCTGAGTATACACAACCAAATCTAGGTAAATTAAGTGCATATGAACATAATCTGGCTGTGTGATGGATAAATGTCACAACTTGAAACCAAGGAACATTTGTTGGTGAGTCATCTGCTTGAAAACCATAAGAAAATAAGCAGCAATTTACACTCAATATGATTTCTTACTTTTGCACATGCTACCTTTAAAAACAAGAATCATATAAGGCATAAAGTAATGATGCAAATTATCCAAGATTTTTGTTGCCTCAAGTAAATAATTTATAGTATAAAGGTATAAAATTTGATTAAAATAGATATAAAATTGATAATTAAAATACATTTAAAAGGAAAGTTTAAAACATAGGCAAAAAGAAACCTGCAAGTGGTGAAGTCACGATTATTATCCAAAGGCATACTATGGTTTGGAAAGTCAGCTATCAGAAATATTGACAGGCTGTTGTTGACATAGCCACTCAAAGGCTGTGTGGTGTTCTGAGAGTAGGCATAATAGTAAACTAAACGAGGAATGATGTCCGATGTAAATGCAACAATAAAAGCCTGAAAGAAAAGCAAAAGACAGATGACAGTTAATCTTGCTTCAAAATGGTCAGATGTATGGAGTACATTTATACATACATAAAGGACATACAAATATTCAAGAGGTTTTGTAAGAAATTTAAACAAATGGGAACTTGGAGGTGAGAATAAGAAAGGAGTGAACACAATTGAAGTGCATTACATATATGTATGAAAACAGCACAACAAAACCATCACCACAGAAAATTAACATATGGTAATAAAAATAATTTTTAAAATATGTAATACATGTTGTCTCTCAAGCTCATGAGTCATGTAAAAACAAAATGATAAAAAAAACTATTACAGATCATAACAAGATGTTTCTTTTGGTCTAAATCACAAACTGGTTGATAAATAATGTGGAATTAAGATTCCAAATGTTTATAGCCACGAAGTAGCTAAATTGAAACTGGATCCTCCATGTATGGCTCTTTCCCCTATGTCTTGCCTTCTACTTCTTACTTTTTTGATAGATTCATAGCACAGCTCTGTTGTTCTTAATGAAATATTTTTGACAATTCCAAAAGCAAAGGTGTGTGTGTGTGTGTGTGTGTGTGTGTGTTTGTGTGTGAGAGAGAGAAAGAGAGAGAGAGAGAGAGAGAGAGAGAGAGAAGGAGAGAGAAAGAGAGAGAACTTGTAGGAGTATGTCACAGGAGGTAGAAGAGAAGGGAATGACACACAGAAGACTATGTACTAATAACTTCTTATAGTTAAGTTTAGTACAATCAATTTCAGAATATGATTCATGAGATGTTATTTTGTATTCTGTCCTAAGCTCTGAAACATATAAGTAACATATCTTTTAGGTTAGTTCAATCAGTTTAAAAACATTTGGCTCTGACATCTAGGTTTTGTTAACAGATTTTTTTTAAGCCTCAATGATTACTTCTGTAGCTAGTTCATTCAGGGTTTTTATTACTCACTGAATAAGTTCATTCAGGGTTTTTATTACTCACTGAATAAGTATGACTGCTTTATTTTATTTAAAAACTATTTCAAGAAATAAAAAAATATATCCAAAGTAGTCTCTCATATTTTTTTCAAGTGTAAGCTTTTTTTATATCTTTTTCACAAATTAACTACTGACTTGCCTAGAACTTGTATGTCTTATTGTTTATTTTCTAATTTATTTATGGTTATATTATAATTTCTTCTCTCTCTCCTCCTTTTTAAAAATACTTTGTAACATGTCTTAAGCTATATGCTTTGTTTGTATTTTTCCAGTCTTCCTTTAAATGCTTTAAAAGCATTTAACAGTTTTTGGTTTTTCTGTAACTACTGTTTCAGCTCATACCTATCAGTTCTCATGTTAATTAAAATTACTATTATTTCAATTATGTTTCTTCTTTTTTAATAATATATATATATATTATTGTAAAGATAATATAGAGAGGGTTTACAGTTACAGGAGTAAGATATAGAGCATTGTTACACCCTCCTTTGTTTTTCCCCTACTAGCCCTTCCCTTCCTATTTCCCCCAACTCCTACCTCCCCCTGCCAAGTTGTAAAGTTGGTTTTCCAGTGTCTTGTACATCTCATTGCTACAATGGGTCATCATGTATCCTTATTTCAGCATTTTGTTATTTTCCTTCCCCTCCCCAAATTAGAGACATGTAAATACGAGATGCAAGGAACTGGACTCAAATATAGTGAAAACAGGGTTTATACCATGGGGGAAGAACATATCAAAGAAACAAAAAAAATCACATAGTACAGTTATAAGTACCTTAAAAACAACAGCAAGAAAGATGAAATCTCTGTGTCCCTATCTTGGGGCTCATTTCTCTTAGTATCATCTTATCTGGTCATATATACATAGCTTTTGACCTTTTCTGCTTGTCCTAGACATATAAGAGTTATTGCAGGTAAAGGAAACCATGGGACCTATGTTTCTTTGGGCCTGGCTTACTTCACTTAATTTATTTTTTTCCAAGTCTTTCCATTTCCTAACAAATGGGGCAATGTCATTCTTTCTGATGGAGGCATAGAATTCCATTGTATATACATGCTACATTTTCTTGATCCATTCATGTACTGAGGGGCATCTTGGTTGGTTCCATGAAACTTATTAGAAGTGCTATTAGACAATGTTGAGTGGTTACATTTTTTTCTTTTCTGATAATCTTAGAGCCTTAATTAAAAATTTAAGTGAATATAAAGTAAATAAACATAAATAAATGTAAAGTTCCTTTCCTGGGAATTATATATTCATATCATTTAAAATTAATGTTCTAAGCAAGGCACTGGTAGCTTATACCTGTAATCCTATCTACTCAGGAACCTGAGATCTGAGGCTTGTGGTTCAAAGCCAGCCTGGGCAGGAAAGTCTATTTCCAATCACAAAAAACCTGGCAATAGAGCTGTGGCTTAAAGTGGTAAAGTGGCAGCCGTGAGCACAAAGGTTAGGGACAGTGCCCAGGCCCTATCTAAGTCCCATGACCTACAAAATTAAAAATGCAATAAAAATGTTCTATATACCTAAGTAAATGTAGAATACACATTTATAGAGAGCCAATCATCAGCTAGTTCAATATTTTTATCAATCACTTATTGTCTATCTCTGTCCTATGTGACACTGTCATAGAACTGTAATGAATGATTTCACATATTTCTGTTTGTAAAAGTGGGGTGTCATAGATTTCTCTATTAGTTGGTGAATGTAAGCAACTGGACTATAAAGTGATGAAACCTGTATGCATACACTTGAGAGAAGCCTTTTTCATATGCTCCCATCCCCTGGAAAACACAAGATGCAAGTCGGTCCACAGCAATGGGTTTACTCACATTGGTTGCAACAGAAAGCACAGCCATTGCATGAAGAATGTCTTGCCAGACACCGATGCTGTGAGCTTTGGCAGCGACTGGTCTCCTGTACTGAGTCGTAAGCTTCCAGGCGTCCACTCGGATCTCTACAATGTTGTTTATGAGGGCAAGGAGAGGAGCCAAAGGAAAAGAGGCCACAAACAATGTGACGAATCCAAACTGGATAACTGTAGAGAGACAAAACCAAGACGCCACTGGATGGAGGAGGGGCGGGCATTCTGACCACCTTCTATTGATTCTGCATTGGAAGGGCATCTAGCTATGCTGGCCCAAATCTACTTCTCTTGTCTTCTGATCCATGTCCTCCTCACCAAAAGAGGCAGAGAAATTTATTTCTCTGCTAGAATATGTAATTATGCCTCAGTTATTTTTGTGTATGCCTTTGGAGATTGCTTCTTCAAAGAAAAAAATAAACTATTCTTTCTTTAGGTACTAAATTTAGGTTTTGTTGTGACTACATTTGTATTGGTATGTACATTTGTTTCATGCTGACTACATTTCTCGCTTTCTTTTTTTAAATATTTTTTTGGGTCCGGTCGTGGGGCCTCAACTCTGGGCCTGGGCGCTGTCCCTTAGCTCTTCAGCTCAAGGCTAGTGCTCTACCACTTGAGCCACAGCGCCACTTCCGGCTTTTTTCTTTTTGCTTACTTGGTGTTGGAGAATCGAACCCAGGGCCTCAGGCATGCAAGGCAAGCAGTCTACCCCTGAGCCACCTTCTCAGCCCTGACTACATTTCTCTATCTTCACAATCTACGCTATTCGAAGACTGATTCATTTTCACACTTCAAATGGCTCTCTTTCTCTCTCTTCTCTCTCTCTCTGTATGCAAAGAAAATCAAAGGTTGTGGAATAAGGTATTTTCTAAGGTCAGAGCTTTAGAAATCCTTTACTGTGTTCAGATTGATCATATGTTTCAGACCAGTGGTTGGAAATTACCTGTTTCCAAGTACTCATAAAATAACCCAAGATGTCCAAAAGTTTGGAGGTCATGATCCTGCTCCCAGCGACTGTACAGTTTCTCAGAGTTGGTCCTAGCTTTTCGACGCCTCCACCAATTAAAAGCCAAGCTGTTGGAAAAATAAAACTATGTGAAACAGTGTTACAGAGATCAGAGACCCAGTGTATTAATGGCAGAAAAGGAGTTTAAACAATTTAAGGCTTCAGAGCAAAGACATGTATGACATCAAATCAAAGTCTCATGTTCCTTTTACCACATGTGGAGATCAAGAGTTTCTTTAGGAAGACTAATAAATCAAGACAAGCCTAGTATTGCGGCTTATTCCTGTTATCCTAGCTACTCAGGAGGAAAAGATGGTGATAATTGTAGTATAAGGCTAGCCTGGTAGATAGGTTTGGGGTTTTTTTGTATTTGTTTTTGTTTTTGCCAGTCATGGGGCTTGAACTCTGGGCCTGGGCGCTGTCCCTCAGCTCTTCAGCTCAAGGCTAGCGCTTTGCTACTGAGCCACAGTGCCACTTCTGGCTCTTTTTGTTTATGTGGTGCTAAGGAACCCAGGGCCTCATGCATGTGAGACAAGCACTCTACCAGTACTGAGCCACCTTCCCAACCCATATAGACAGTTTTTGAGACCACCATCTCAACCATAACTGTAAAGCCAGCTATACTAGAAGTACAAAGAGGAGGAACAAAGTCTATTCTGGCCCATGAATAAATATGAGACCTTATTCAAAAAATAATAAAATAAAAATGAGATGGAGGTGTAGACCAAGTAGCAGAGTGCCTTCCAAGGCCAGCATGAGGCCTTGAGTTCAAAGCAAAATAATTCTCACTCTGTTCAGAGAAATCTATTTGCTTATTTACTCAGCGATCATTTGAAAGTTGCTATTGTAGAAAGCCACCATCCTTCTGCCTCTGGCTTTATGAGAAGATACAATTACAAGCTTCTATGGCTACCCTTGGTTTTAATTGTTTGAGTTCTTTAAACATTAAAAAAAAAATCTCCAGCCAGGCACTGGTGGCTCATGCCAGTAATCCTAGCTACTCAGGAGGCTGAGATCTGAGGATCATGATTCAAAGCGAGCCCAGGCAGGAAAGTCTGTGAGACTCTTGTCTCCAATAAACCACTCAGAAAACCATAAGTGGTGCGATGGCTCAAATGGTAGAGTGCTAGCCTTGAGTTCAATAGCTGAGGGACAACGCCCAGGCCCAGAGTTCAAGCCCCATGACTGACAAAAAAGAAAAAAAAATCTCCATAAGATGACTAACTGGAAAACATTTCATTCCATTCTACAATCAGTCTCTTCACTCTGTTGTTAAATTGTTTGTCATTTGGAAATGAGATTTGAGAAGATTTTGGTAGCTATGGAATTAAATAAGTAAATAAAATGAAGTCCTAGATTACTTTAAGACATGCTTTCCTTTTGTTGGGTTAAACATTTTCTAACAAAGACACCATAATAATGGAAAAAAATCCATCTAGTTCTAGAGGCATTTTCTCAGTTACTTAAACTTGTCTAAGTCATACGTACGGGTAAATGGCTTCATTAATGTTTCCAAACACCTGTCTCCCAATCATTATGATGGTCAACTGTGTGGTCAATTCTACAAGACAGCCACCAGGATCACACTAGTTGGACAGAACAAAAAGGAGAGAAAAATAAAAGCAAATGATGAAATAAAATTTTGCAATTAAAACTCTAAATCAGAGATTATAGTTTTGAGAGTGTATAATACACTAGTTGGAAAATATGTCATAGCAATAAACAGGTATTTACTTTCATGCTTTCTGAGACACCAGGAAAGTTATACTTGGTCTATCAGTGTAAAAAAAAAACATCCATTTTTGGTTCTTGTTCTTAGAACGCCTTGGATCTTGACATCCAGGTTAGGGTTGGATATTGGTTTATTCTCCCCTTGATTTGGGTGTATAGACAGGTTTGGAAACCAATGATCTCTCTCACTCTATAGTCCACATGGAACCTTTCCCCCAGAACATTATCACTAATCCTCTGAAGGAAGCTTTCTATAATAAATACCTTACTTGGGGTTGGGAACTTGGCTCAGTGGTAGAGAGCTTGCCTTGCATGCCAGAGGCCCTGGGTTCGATTCCTCAGCACCACATAAGCAAAAAGAAAAAAGCCGGAAGTGGTGCTGTGGCTCAAGTGGTAGAGCGCTAGCCTTGAGCTGAAGAACTGAGGGACAGCTCCCAGGCCCAGAGTTCAGGCCCCACGACCGGACCCAAAAAAAAAATACCTTACTTATTGCATAGTACATATTTTATAATAAAAGTATAGTATCTATGTAGTCTTTATATTAACATTTTTATTCATATATAATTTTGTACAAGGTGACTTTATTGTGATATTTTCAAGTATGAATACAATGTAACCCCAGTCTCTACTCTCCCTCAATACAGTCCCTTCTTCTTAGAGCAGTTTCAACAGGTTTCATTATTCTATTTTCATCCATGTTTATAAAGTATTTTGACCATAATCCCCATCTTCCTTGGTCCTGTCTCCTCCTGCTGGAATTCATCACCCCCCCCCAAGTAAAACAGAACCTGTCTCTCACTTTTTAGTGTATATTATATGTGCAAAAAGTTTTCTCAATGATATTTCACATGGGCATAGATTATATTTTAATCTGATTTGTCCCCTCCATTCCTTTCACTCTGCTAAGCCTTCTCAATGCTTGCATTTGTTAACAATATAATAGATTCTTGCCCCAAAGAAACAGATGGAAAGTCTGTTTCTGTTGCGTAAGTCTAACAGACAATACGTCTCATGTGTGGACCAGTCAGTAGGTTTGATTACAGGTAGGTTTTTATTTAAGTTGATAACATCTGAGTTAGTGCCATTAACATCCTAGTTAACACTGAGATACTAAAGTCATAGTCCTCAAATCTCAAAAGAATTCTTACCTCCTCACTTCTCCACTCGTTAAACATGTATGTGTATTTTTCAGGATAGCCCACAAGCTTTCCTTTAAAGAAAGCGACATAGAAGCAGGACGAGTAATAATTTACAAACTGAAACAGGAACATTTTCAAGGTAAGGCTGCTCTCATACTCCTGGTAAGTTCGAGGAATTTCTGATAAGTAAAAAAAAATCACATTTTAATGCATTTTTTAAAAAATCTGGTGCTTTTGTAGCAAAAGTGGAAATCTGAGCATATCATTTTGAAAATTCATAGAAATGTTCCTACTCTGCCATACAGAACAATATTGAATAACTGGATTTATATATAGCATTCTCTTAAGACATTCTGTGTTACTGTTAATCACTGGAAAAGCTTAAGAATCAGACATTATCACATTTAGAAGGTAGATTACTTCTTTGGGGCAGGGGCTTACCCTGCCACAGACAGCATTCACAACTCAAATCTCTAGAGGACTGAAGAACCTTTTGATTGATCATCCCAATAACACCCCATAAACATATTTATTCTCCTTTATGCATTTTCAATCAGCTTTATACAAGATAAGCATACATCAAGAATTGAGGTGATTTCCAACTTAGCTGCATTCCCCTCTCATGAATTAAAAGTTATGTTAACTTTGAAAATAATGTGATGACAAATACTGGCAGAAATAGTATGCATTTTCCCTTTCCTTGATTTAAAATATATGATTATTATTTGTCATTTAATCAATCCCAGGGATTTGATACAAATTCTCTTTATGTCCATAAGGGCACTGTGAAGCACAATGCAGTAAGGGAACACGTTTTTCTGAGCTGATAATCTCCCAATAGCATAGCTGATCCAATAAAATCCATGTTACTTTTGGAAATATTGAAATAGCAAATCAAAGACATAGATTGATCCTCAAGTGAACTTCAGTGGCATTCCTCCTAAAATATACATAATCTGAACTCCAGTGATTTTTCTCACTTGAAGAAAACTGTGACGTTTCAGTTGCTTTTAAACACAATTTCTTTTCTTAATAATAGCACAGGAAAGAAGTAAAATTGAGCGAGAACTCAAAATGTGATGACAGTGTATAAGGAAAGTTACCTGGCAGTGTTTATTCCAGAGCTTTTTTGCCTATGGCACATGGTATCAGTATAAAGTCTGAGGTTGACAAATAGGTTGTGAGATCCTAGGATGAGCACTTCCAGGAGAGGGGCCTTGGACTGAGTCTCTGACAAGAACAGAAGCAACTGTGCCCTGCACCCTTTGATCCAGTGTTTCACTACACCTGTGACCACTTCAGTTCCCTTAGGGGAAGGCTGAATACTTTAACAAGACAAGCATGCAGATTGTAAAGGATGCTCACTGAAGAGCAAGATATTCAATTTTAGATTTATTTAGGAGGAGCTTATTTTCTTATTTTCTCATGATAGTTTCAGAAACGAAATGCCTTCTAGGAACTGTATATACATGAACAGTTTGTCTGTGTGTTTAGTATAGTGAGAAGTTTGCTCAGGATTCCATCAAGGGAGGTTTAGGACAAAAATACTCAAAATCATCTGACAAGTCTTAATTCCTTCTATCAGTTATTCCTGCTTCCTGTGTGGCAGGCTTAAGTGTAGTTCTCAGGGGATTTTGAGAGGCCAGGGCCGGGTTTACCTGTAGAACAAAGCAGCCTTCAAATATGCCCTTAGCAAATGGAATCCCTGGGAAGTGAACCAAAATGGATGCTATGCCATTCGTAGGGACTTATTTTCAGATTATACAACGATTTGACCAGCTTACCCATTTTTGTAATCCAGGCAGATATCTTTTCATAAAAGAAATTCAAGATCATGATGACTATGAAATTCAAGCATGATCCAGTAAGTGATGTGGCTAGCTGGGGAGTAAAGAAACGTTTGACATGCTGTAGAGAATCTTCACTTTCCATGAAAGTAGCAAATATAGCAAAGAGTGACAGGCGGTACACAATCACAGATACCATACTGCTGAGAACCAGGGCCATCTGGGGAAGGGAGAAAAAGAATTAGTCACTCTGGTCTCTGTGTATATGTATCTAAAGCATTACAACATTACAACATCTAAGGGCTCTCATATGGAAAGTAAATTGAGTCAGCCTCTCCTACACACACAGCAGGAAAGAAAACAAAGGACTTAAGGAAAAATCATTTGGTTAACAACTGGATAAATATACAGCAAGAAAACATGTTCATTGCTCATATTTTAGTAGGAATTTGCAGAAGAGTCACAGGCCAAATTCTGTCCAAGGCCTTCCTTTTCGTTACCTGGCTCTAAAGTTGTGTGTGTATGTGTGTGTGTGTGTGTACACATTTCATCTTAAAAGCCTTATAGAAAACTAAAGACAATTATGAGTTGGGATTATGTAGCCACAAAACCCAATATATATCCTGCTCATTGACACACAAATTTGCTGTCATATTCTAGTTATATATAACATCTGCATAATTTTTATGTATTTCCTGGTTGCAAAATCATCCTAAAGTTAAAAATCAACCTAAAGTTAAAATCATCCCCGTTTTTTTATTCCACAGTTTCTTTTCAAGGTTGTTATGGATCTAAGGAAACACATTGTTGCTAATTCTTTTAAGGTTTGAAAATAATAATCTTTTCAAGAAATGCTACAAGATATACCATACCACATGGAACATGTGAAATTTAAATAATAGCCAACAATTTGTTTATCGTTTACACAATTAACTCCTGAAAATTTAACAGCATTTATTTTCCTAAAGTTAATGCTAGTTGTTAAGAGGCTTTGGAGATTATGGTGATGGAGAAATCTATTAGCTAAAAAACATGGACAAACACTGACAAATTCACCAGGAAAGACATTAACTAAATTCTTCAAGTAAAAAGAAGAAATGCTGCCTGTGTAGCACAGCGGGTAGAGTAGCTGCCTAGCATGTGTGAAGCTATGTTGAAACTCCAGCACTGAAAAAATAAACAAATAAAAAGAAAACAAAAACAAAAATGGAACATTGTATTTATTTAGCAATAAAATAAAATACATTAGCTGAGTTGCTTATTCATTTTGTACATATATAGTAAGTGAAGATAAATTTATATTGTTTATATTTATAAAGCTAACCACAATCGGCAATCAGAATAAATTTGTTGTTCTATCCTTGTTTCTTGTTATCACTTCATGAAATGTTGTGAGATGTACAAAAACAGGTTGTAAGATAAAGCATCTCTCTTCCCTTAGATCAGTCCCCAAAATTCAATCATGGAAGATTGTTGTAAATTAAAGTATACTTGGTATAAGAGTTGTAGTGAATGTAAAAAGAGCAGATGAGATCCCAGAGCCATTATAGATAAAATTGTTGACATGATCTACATGATTGCCTGCTAAGGAAATAAAAAGTTTTAAAGACATACCCAGAGTGTCACTGTGGCTCCTGATAACATATACCATGGGGTTCGAGTGTACAGTGGCATATGAGGCTCTACTTCCTGTAATATTGAAGACATAACAGAAAAAAAATCAAAATCTGTCTGCATATTTGGGACTGTAAGCATCAAAAATACTAGGGCACAGTTAAAGAAGAAACCTCCCATGAAGAGTTCCCTATACATCACAGGGAGAGTTGCATTCTAGCAATGGCCCTTCCCTTAAGTAAAAATCTTAGGCCTCCTAAATGATTCTCCACATGGTAAGAGACAAAATAGGTGCAATGATTGTTTCCTGATTGGCAGGTGTAGTGCTATTTATATCCTGACAGAGAGAAGAAAGTCAAATCTTGGCCAATCTTGCTAAAGTGAGTTTGAAATTGTATTGAAATAAGTAGTGTGGCTCTCTAATTGTTCTACATGATACTAAATTAGATGTGCCCTTTGTATTTATGAGACAAACTCTATCTTCCACATAAGTCAGCAGATCACATTCCATTCCCATTATCTTTATAGTCATTAATGGAAGATGTTAATTATATAATTACAATTCTATAATTATATTAATTATATCAGCTAATGTTCTGAGACTCATCAAAAGATATTTAGATTTTACTAATGAAGGCTACAGTTAAAAATGGTGGTCAGGAAAGAGGTAAATCAAGTAATTCTATAAAATAGAAGATTTCACATTTTAAGGGATCTGTGAATGTGTACGTGTGTGTTTACTGAGTTCATGTGTATGCAACCATGTTTATATTCACACCTGTGTGTATTGCAAGCACAGAGGCCAAAGTGGTGCTTAAACACCAAAGAGCATCTCAAACCTATCATTGCCAAGAGAGGTGAATGGTTGACAGTGAAACTCAACTAATTCTGAAGGTAAACAGTGAATGCATCTTCCCTTCTCCCCACCTCCAAAGTTTTTGGCAAAACCACTAGGATTGCTTCTGCTTTATGAACACCATGTCATTATTCTACCAATTCTATTCCATAATTTCAAACTAATACCCAAATTAGTGATGTACTTTTTTTTTTTTTGTCAGTCATTGGGCCTGCATTCTGGGCCTGGGCGCTGTCCCTCAGCTCTTCAGCTCAAGGCTAGAGCTCTACCACTTGAGCCATAGCACCACTTCTGGCTTTTTCTGCTTATGTGGTGCTGAGGAATCGAATCTGGACCTCGTACATGCATGGCAAGCACTCTACCACTGAGCCACCTTCCCAGCCCTAGTGATATAGTTTCTAAGGTGCTTTTTCTACATTATTCGTTTGCTGAAATTTTTGTAATAATATGTAAAATCTAATAAATGATCAGTGTATGCTTAAACTGAGAATTTTGAGTCATATAGTACAATAGTGTCCAAGAAGGGGAGGATATTTTTCTAGAAAGATTGTGTTCGAAATTGGCACTGGTGGCTCATACCTGTAATCCTAGCTACTCAGAAGGCTGAAATCTGAGGATCACAGTTCAAAGCTAGCCTAGGCAGGAAAGTCTGTGAGACTCTTATCTCCAATTAACCACCAGAAAACAGGAAGTGGCACTGTGGCTCAAAGTGGTAAAACTCTATCCTTGAGCCAAAGATCTCAGGGACAACACCCAGGCCCTGAGTTCAAGCCCACGACTGACAACAAGAAAAGACTGTGTTTGGTTTTTAATAGTAGCAGATAAAACTAAAGAGATATTATGGATTACTAGGTGGTTATTGAATATGTAACCAAAATGCTGTATATTGAGGGAAAATATCTTTTATGCTTAACAGAATAAAATGAGGTACAAGAAATTAAATGACTCAGTCATGAACAGATTGCCAGTTTGCTATGCAAGGATGCTAAAATTTATAGTCCTTTCTAGTCCTATCCCTATAGGCATTGAGGTAAAGACTTTCTCATTATGATCAATTAAATAACCCTATTGGAAGAATAAGGTTTTTATTAGACCTGGTGCCTAATAAAACATTCACTTGTAAGTCCACTCTGTAAATACAACCACTTTAATTTTTATATATTAACTTAGTACTTTTTCGTGTCTAAAATAGACAAAGCCGAGAACATAGCTTTCCCATTTCCCTTTATCTCACCTAGTATTAGAACCTCCTACTTCATGTTATGATACTTTGGATTTGCTTTAAAATGATCTAGTGTCAGCAAGGTAAAGGATTATGAATAAAAAATAATTGTGAATAAGAAATAGTGTTGGTTAATAGATCTATCCACAAATTCCTCATAGTTTTCTATTTGTATTTAAACATTGTCACATATTTAAACATTGTATGGATATGAGTACACATATTAGAAACAAGCAAATTTTACAATTTACATGTTGGAGGCAGCCTACAGCAGTGTTGACTGAGCTGCCTATCTATCTCAGTCTCTCAGTGTACCTTGGTCACGGGGTTTATTTTCCTGTGTTTGCACATGGCTTCAAATTCAGGTCTCAGCTGTAGCTGCTGTTGTTCCTCTTCGAAGTCCACCAGATCCCATTCATATTCTAGTCTGGCCTGTCGCTGTTTCCAAAACTCCAAAAATAATGTGACTACAGAAGAACAAGTACACAAAAGAAATTATCATCAAGAGATGGAGAAATAAACATACTAAGAAAATGATTTTTCTCCCACTTTTGTCATTTTTGTCGAAAGGTGGATCAGTTTTTAGAGTTAGCTATTCTGAAACTGGTTGATGACGGAATTACCAGTTTTTAATGTTAGCATTCATTTCTTTACGTCTGTATAGAGTTGACACATAATTAGTAGAGATAATAAAGTTTCAAAAGTTTGTAAAATTAAGTAGTAATTTAGTATTTGTTGCTTTGTTAGCATTAAATGGACAAAATTCAAAATTCAAAAGTAACAGTTGGTTACTATGAGTATATAATAGACTAGATATTTATACATATTGATAAAACTTTTAGTGCAACTAAACAGTTGTACTTCTCCTGTCTTAATGGTTGTAATTCTGAAACAGAACTAAAAATGGCTATCATACATGAAGTGTGAGAGAAATTGATGGTAAAAATAGCAAAAAAAAGGGGAGCCAGGAGTAGTGGCACACTACTGTAATCTCAGCACTTAAGAGGCTAAGGACAGACTTGGCTGCATAATGAGTTTAGGGCTAGCCTTAAACTACATAAGTAAATCATATAAAAAAACTATTAAAAAGATAAAGAAAGATAAGAGATAATAAAATAAAACCAAATGTATCCCTGTGATTTCTCTAGATTTCTTGTGCTTACATGAGTCTGTAAGAATAACAATTCAGGTCTGTTCTAGAACAGATTTGGGCCTTACAGATCGAGCCTATATAAGAGTTCATCTTTTAGATACATAAAAAATAACTCAGAAAGTGTAGGGGTGGCTGAAGTGATAGGGTGCCAACCTTGAGTGCAAAAGCCAAGCAAGAGCTCAAGGCTTCGAGTTTAATGAGTCCCCAGTACCACTATATATACACAAAAAGACACAATAATACTCTCTGCACAATTACTGTATGCTAATGAAACAAAAGAAAAATCAAATCCATATACAGATTATTCACATATTCAACATATAATTGAACACATCCCTTATGCCTACAGCCCTTTCAACCAAAGAACCCAGGGCCACGACTCTATCAATATACTGGTGATGACAAAGAAACAACACTCTCATCACCTTTGATATGTAAGAAATGCCATCTGTAAATGTTGTATGACCAAGCCATCCAATGTGTAGTGTGGAGGAAGCGCTTTCTTCTGGGACTGTGTACTCACCCCAAATGCCCATGAATATTGCGAAAAACACTGTTGACTCATTATCAAATAAATGGGATAACTGTAAAGGGAAGAACAACATCACAAAGATCATTTGGTATAAAAAACAACAAAAAAGGCAAGAAATTCCAAGTTATAATACTGCCATGCATTCATTAGGCCTACCTTCGAAGCTGAACAGGTGGTATTCAGTCTCCAATAATCACACATTTTATCACAGAGTGGACACATGATTATCTGCCCTCCAATGTTAGGATCACAGATTTCAGTGCTACCCAGAAAACATGAAATCATGTTAAAAGTGATGTGTAGAGAAAACAAGCTATTTCTAATAGAACAACTGCATATGACAAAGTGTCAATAAAGCAGCATTTTCTGGATCAACTCATACATATGGAATAAACTCCTTAGGGCTCATTATTACAAACAGAGTTTTCTATAGCACTGGATGAGGGATAGTTGCTATCTGAGTTACCCACCACTTACTTTCATAAGGAAACATTTTTAGACAAATGCCTTGGCATTCATGAGTTTCAGATAGCATAAGATGAAGCTATATCTCATTTTTTAGCAACTCACTTGTTACTTACCTGCTTTGGTTAGCTTCCATTGAAAATAAGCCATAAACAAAACAAGCTAATCCAACTAGAGCTGCAATGAATAGCATTTCTGTGTAAAATCCAAGAAAGACAAAGTAGATACCAATTTTTTCTCCAAAATAATTCCTGTGGAAAAGAATGAAAAAGAGAGGCTGAAGGAATGTTATAGCGCAGAGAGCCTGGTTTTGTATTCAGACTGGCATGTTTTCTCATTTGGGCATCATTGCTTTCTAGCCATATAATTTTGGTAAAATTACTCAACTGTCTAAATGCTACTTTCCACATTATAAAACATAGGACCATGCTTATTGCATATTGTAAATATAGGTGTAGGGATAATTAAACGAGTACATAAAATAAGGAAGTCACTCGAATGGAACTTAAAATTTAAATAATACTGTAATTTTAACATTTTCTAAATTTTAAGTGTTTAAAACACTTTTTACTGCAATTTCTAGCCATTGATTTAACAAATCAAAATTGCGGTCATAATCTGAATTTTCTATATACCTCAATTTGAAAAAAAAAAGGTATTCTGACAACTCCATAAATTTCCATCTTTCCTCAAGTTTGGATCTCTGAGGGACACTTGAAGAATTGCAGACTAAAATAACTACTTAACAGCAATTCTGTAAAATATACAACTCAGTTCTTACTTCACAGAGAATTAAGAAAATCCAGAATCCTTAGTATAAACATTCAAGTTTCACAAACAAGTGTATCTTTTTTCTTTTCAACCAAATCTTCCCTTTAAGAGTGTGAAAACACTCTTTCTTTGCCTTGGAAAACCAGATTTTGTTCTTGTTGGCTTAACTGATTGACACATGTTGGCTTAAGTGATTGAGACCCCCTCCTCTTATTATTAATGCTCCTCCTAATTTTCCAATTTGGTGAGCTTTTTCATCATGCCCTAGATAGAGAGATGTAGTCCACTTGGGGTTCTAACAGAATATTCTGTAATTTTATGAAAACAATATTAAATTGTAATCTACAAATCTAAATCTCTTTTCAAACATCTCAAGTAATTCTGTTTCCCTTTATTGTCTATCTTCAGTCACATATTACATCCATTAAACTCAATCATAAGAATAGTTTTCTAATCTGAACTATCTTCTTGTCATCAGTACCTTGAATAAGATTTTCAACCAGATTTTCAACCACTTATTACTAGACAATTTTAACAGCGTCTTTACTTCTCTAACTTCAGTCTTGTCTGAATTTATCATCCCTCTACATGTCTGCCTTTCCAAAACACAAAATCTCTTGAGAAGGCTATAATTCATACAAAATCCTTTTCTATCATTTCACAAAAATTTCTCTCATAGTTCAACAAAAGTGTACTTTGCTATCTTATGAATTATCAAATACATCAAAGGAAAGAACTATTAATATGTCCAATTAATGGGGGAGGCTCATACTTGTTAAATACTAACCAAATCTGTACAGATTTCTTGAGGCAGAATTTGGATTTGAATTTTGCCTGCCTAATTTCTAGACCTTAACCATGATGCTTTACATATTATTCATGACAAGGTTTGGCAGGTACATTCTTCTTTGATATATGAAACACAGAAGCCATAAATATAATGAGTGAAATTGGTAATCAAAATAATAGATATTCCCTCATTGTGATAAAAATCACAGCATCAAGTTTTACCTGATGGGATCCTGGGAAAAGAAACTTACCTAATCAACTCTAAAGGTTGCTCCTTATAAAAAAGGGAAAACCGAGCCCAGTGCTTGTGAAGTATATACCTTTCATTGCAACGATTTTCTGATGGCTTCCAGTACTGGCCCTATACATATCCAAGACAGTAATAAACGATAAAGCAAAAGACAAGTGTGCAGTAAATGAAGGCTATGTTCTTTTTTTTAAGGCTATTTTCTTAAAGGTTAGTGGACAAGCTAATTCTTCCTTTCACTTTTAGATTTGTATCTTCTATTCATTGATAGTTTATGATTTACTAAAATCAATAATGTATCATTAGACTGGTTTATTCACTACATTTGCTTATCCATAAATGCAAGATAGCTTTGGGATTTTTGCTGTACTTAATTAAGCCATACTTTTCACCCAGGAGGCACTTTTTTTTCCTTTACTTAAAACCTCATATATGTAGATTCACATCACTACTTAACTGGCTAGGACTTTAGAAAAAAACCAAAGCATTCATTTTTTACATGGAAAAATTAAACCCCACGCTAAATAAAGTGACTGATGCAAATCAAAATACTATAGGAAGAAAGCCCTGATCTGTCCCTCACTGACCCTGAGCTCAAGCCCAGGACTAACACAACAAACAAATAAATAAATGCAGTGGACACTTAGATGGACCCATTAAAGTATAGCCCTCTTATAAGTATGTATGTATGTATGTATGTATGTATGTATGTATTTGGTGCTAGTCCTGGGGCTTGAACTCAGGCCTGGGAGCTGTCTCTAAGCTTCTTTTTGTTAAAAACCAGCACTCTACCACTTGATCACAGTTCTACTTCCAGGTTTTTTGGTAGTTAATTGGAGAAAAGAGTCTCTAGGACTTTCCTGCCCACCTTCCTTTAAACTGTCATCCTCAGATCTCAGTTTCCTGAGAAGCTAGGATTACAGATGTGAGCCATCAATGCCTAGCTTTGCATAGCCTTTTGAAATTAAAGAAAAACCCACAATAACTTAATGGCCCACTGATTTCTACCACTTGTTTCAACCATCATATGTGTTTGTTCTATATTGCTGAAGACTGATTTTTCTCATGAAGAAAAGATCTTTTGCAAATGTGGAAGAAAAAAAGAAAAAGACTCAAAGGACAGATGATCTTAAAGTAGTTTATATATTTCTTGCCATGTGATTTTTTTAATTCCTGGCAGCTGGTAAAATTCATTCACTGACTGTCCAAATGAGTAGGTTTACCTCAGAAGCTAGGCAAAAGTCTTTGTTGCCAAGTTATTTTTGAGACTGATTCAAAAGAGTGCAGCACTTTAATAAAACATCACTTCTCTGAAGAACATACAAGGCTCAATATTCATGATGTCAGCCTCAAAGAAAATTTCTCCTGAGATAGGCGTGGTATTGCATGTCTGAAATTCCAGCATTTATGAAGCAGAGGCAGGAGAATTGAGTTTCAGGCCATCTTGAGCTATGTGCTCAGACCCTGTCTCAAAAATGATATAGCTCTGAGTGCAGTGGTACACATACTTTATCTTTAGGAAATTCTTTCACAGTCTTTGAGCTGGAATTCATGAGTGTGCATCAATAGTGGTCTAGCAGAATGTCTTCCATATAACTGAAAGCAGGTACATATCTGAAGAATGATATATGTAATGTCAATCTTTTACATCTTCAAATCTTAATGAACAATATGTATATGGTCAAATATGTTATATTCAGGTATGAAAATGGAACAATGGAGCTTGTTGAAAATGGTTTTGGCAGGAGGGTAGGGAATAAAGGAGGACAGAAGGGTGAATTTGATCAAAGTATATTGAATGCACATATATCAAAATAAAATCCCTTTGTATGACTAATTGATAATAATAAAAATACTGTTTAAAAATCTTAATGAGAAGAGACTTAATGGATCACATAGAAATCCTCAAATACTATGATATACATCTTTTAAAATGTGACTGCTAGTTTCAAAATACACCCTTAGGAAATACACTTTAAAGAAAACTCAGATACAAATAAAGCAATTTTTGAAAAGAAATTTCCATTTGCAACCTCAGTGCCTAAAACATTAGCTCTGTTTTACTATAGGCTGCTGGAACTCTGAACTCAGAATCAGAAAGTCTGGGAATTTTCTCCTCATGAAAATGTAAGAAAAAGGAGAACAAGTGGACAGTTCTTTTCTTCAACAAGGAAATCTCTGCAAGTAAGAGAGGTAATGAGCTTCACATTTCCAAGTCAACATTGTACTTACATCGTGTAGTGGATACGCAGATGAGTATGTGTTCGAAGTTAGTAGTCTTTCAATCCCAAACTTTTTCTTTCCATCTTCTATGCCAAAAGGACACCGTGAGAGAATATAGTACACCTACAAGATAATACAAAGAGATACCAGAAAGTTTCAGACTTATGGTTTTTACAGTTTTCGTTTACCAATTCAAAGTTAATAATAACCATTATTGTTTGACTATACACATAGGCCAAATATAGAAGGAAACTTTTTTTTGAGGAAGCATATGGAGTATGAATTAGTATGGGAATTTGTAGGTTTCTTAGCCTCTGGTCCTTTGGTGGGGAAGAGAGTGATTGGGCCAGTTTTGTTTCTCTTCTCTCAAACTCCTCTACAAGTATCATGTGCCAAAATTCCTACTACAATTAAAGTTTAAAGTTGAAATCTAATAGTACTATTTAGAGTTAACTTGGAGAAATATGAAGTACAATTAATACTTAGCCAAGTTGTTTGCATTATTTCTAAATTAGTCTGACAAACTTTTACCTGCCCATACTCTTGGGTTGAGTTTACTATTCAAGATTGTCCTTGTCTCTCAAACCTCTTTTCAGTCACCATTATCTTTGTGTACATTTTCTTTCTCTTACATGTGATTTGGCCTTTAGTGTCCTCTGCTCTTATGTTCCTATCAACTGTATCTCATCTCTTTTCTGTTTTCTAAAACTTTTCAGAATATTTACTTTTTTGACTGTTGATTTTAGTACTGGTTTAGATATCTTTATCCCCCTTTTAGATTTTATCATTCAAAGATTTACAGAAAAGGTCAGATAATGTGATGTTAGGGAAATGAACCCTAAGATATATATTCAAATGTTTTTTTTCTCTCATGCGATTGTTTATAACACATTTATAAGATGATTTCTTTGTTGCTTTGTATGTCCCTCCCCCACAATATAACCCCTGCTTTCACTGTATTTGATGTTGGTATAATTTGTGGAGGGGAAGGGGAAAAACAAATCGTTTAAATAGGGATACAGGTGGACCCATTGCAACAATGAGTGTACAAGTTGTTATGCCGAAACGAACTTTACAACTTTGGTGTGTGGGGGGGGGAAGACTGGCTTGGGGGGGGGAAGAATGGGAAGGAATGGGAAGGGGAAAAAAAGAGGAGGCTACAATGCTTGATAAGAAACATACTCATTATCTTGCCCATGTAATTGTAACCCCTCTGTATGGTATTTTCACAATAAAAAAAAAAGAAGCCAAAAAGAAAAAAAAAGAAATTAATGATAGCTTCTTTGCTTCATCATCATTAAACCTGATCATTTGTTTTAAAGGAAGTGTAATATTCTCTTTGGTAAAAAGAAATCACAATTTATACACGGCAGGTTAATTTTTATGAATGTTGTATATAAGAACTATTTTATACTTTGGATTATTCCAATGGGAAGCCTCCATTGAGTCTTACCGGGGTACACACACACACACACACACACACACACACACACACACACACACACACGTGAAACTGTCATAATGAAACAAACTCCCCTTGTACAATTAATGTATGCAAGCAACAGTGCTAATGAAAAATAGAAAATAGTCAGCAACTCAACATTATTTTAAGGTGTTATCAAAGTTGAAAAAAATACTATATATTGAAATGTATTACAAAACTATAGAAAAATCTGTTAATGATTTTTTCCCATAAAGATTATTACTGGGAAGGGCATTCTTAAAGTAGAAAGTATTCTAACCAGATTTGCAAACATTTGAATTGTCAGGCAAAAAAAAAGGGATTTTTTCTTTTTTTTTTTTTTGCCAGTTCTGGGGCTTGAACTCAGGGCCTGGGCACTGTCCCTGAGCTTCTTTTGCTCAAGGCTAGCATTCTATCACTTGAACCACAGTACGACTTCCAGCTTTTTCTGTTTGTGTGGTATTGAAAAATTGAACCCAGGGCTTCATGCATGCTAAGCAAGTACTCTACCACTAAGCCACATTCTCAGCCCCCAAAAGGTAATTTTTAATAGAGAAAAAGTAATCAAGAGTCAGAAAAATCTCTGAAGCACATGTTCTACTTGTTTCTATTGGCTAGAACTCAGGATGGGCCAAGAATCAGAGTCCAGTGGAAAGGAGAGAAACTTAAAAGTTGATCAAGTCAGCTAAGAAGTATTTTGTTTAAAGAATCAACTGCTATAAAGGATTGAAAACACCATTTGTTAAACAAAAATTGGGAATTTTGGAGTCTGTTGGCCTTTGTTAATGACAAAAGGGAGAAAGTTTAAAGGTAAGTACAAACTTGAGAGAAAGTAACTTTCTCTAGTATTAAAGGAGACATTGCTCCACCTCTTCTCCTTTGGAGAATGAATGCAAATTTTAAAAGCTAAGTAAGTTCTTACATTACGAACTAGGAATGCTTTTCTTAAAGTTTTGATACAATTTCTTTTAAATGTAAACAATGAATGTTCTTATCTTTAAGTTTCTAGTTGAGTTTAGTTTAGGGCAATGACTTGAAGTTGGAACTATATTTGACAAAACAGATGGGGAAAATCACCTTCTTCCATTTATCATGTTAAAAAATTACATATTCGCTATGATAAACAATGCTTCAATGAACATGGTTGTGCTGGTGGCTGTAGTGGTTCATTGGATAAATGCCTCGGAATGGGATTGCTGGGTTATAGAAAAGTTCTATGTTTAGTCTTTTAAGGAACCTCCATACTGCTTTCCAGAGTGGTTAAACAAGTTTATATGCCCGCCAAGAGTATAATAGAGTTCCCTTTTGGCCATACCCCTGCCAACATTTGTGATTGTTAAGTTTTCCTGATAATGACCATTCTAACTGGACTGAAGTGGAATGTCAGTGCTGTTTTGATTTGTATTCATTTCTTGGCCAGAGATGTTGAACACTTCTTCATGTGTCTATTAGCCATTCTTTTCTTCCTCTGAGAAGTCTCTCTGTAAGTCTTTAGCCAATTTAGTGATTGGGTTGCTGAGTTTTTGAAGGCTTACTTTTGGGGGTCCCTCAGTGGATGAATGGATCAAGAGAATATGGTATAGATAGACATAGATACAGAATGGAATTCTATTATTCCATCAGAAAGAATGATACTGTAACATTCATAAGGAAATGGAAAGAGTTGGAAAATATTATATTAAGTGAAGTAAGCCAGAGCCAAAGAAACATAGGCTGTGGGTTTTCCTAATTTGTGGTAACTAGAATGTGCCTATAAATCTACAAGTAAACACACTGAATGATTAAAATCAATCAATCAATCAATAAACCAGAGAATTTTCAGAATAATGAGCACTGGTTTTTCCACTGAAAGTTGCCAGCAGCAATAGCACCTACCAAATCATAATGTCTTTGAAGCTTTGAAGCCAGGCTTTGCCTTCTCTGCTTTGGCTATCAATATCTTAGATTTCTAAATGAGTAGAAAGTTGTTCCATATACCTTTCATATAGCCAATATCATCACTTCTTTCAATTAGATCTTCTGGATAACTTGCTGTAGTTTCACCTTGAACTTTTATGTTATGAAGATGGCTTTTTTATTCAATAAGCAACCTCTGCTGGCTTAAACTTTTCTTCTACACCTTTCATCCTCTTTCAGCCTTCTCTGAACTGAAGAGAAGGCACTGTTCTGGATTGAGCTGTTGTTTAAAAGAATTTTGAAACTTCTTGTCTTCAAGACCACTAAAGCTATGCAGTCAACCTATTCTGGTTACTCATTTGCTGCTTTGATAGTGTAGCTCTGGCTTATTTCAGAATTTGACATGTCTTTCTCAGTAAGTTAAAGTATTTCTAGCTTTTGATATAAAGTAAGAGAATAGAGAGAGACCATTGATGTCCTAATCTCAATGTTATTTATGGCTAATATAGGGTTTTTAAATGTTCTAATTTATTTTAAATTTTATTGAAAAGGTAATGAGCAGGGGGTTATAGTGACATAAGTAAGGCAATTAGTACATTTGTTTTTAATCATTGTAACCCCATTTTTCTTTATCTCCCCCTAACCCATCCCTATCCCCCCTCCAAGTTGTAATGTTCATATCCAACCTATGTTGGAACTCAAGTGAGTGTCAATGCTGCTGTGGTTCATTCATTGTCCTGCTGTTTCTGTGATTCCTTTTCCCTTCCACATATTGCATTGTCTGTTATACAAATCATGAGGTACAAAAAACTAAAAGAAATGAAGAAAGTAAGAAATAGAGAAAAAAGAACAAACTATATACAGGGTTTAATGAGAACCTCTTGTTTCCATAGGTTGGAGTTCATGTTAATATGCTTCATTATATATTGTCCTTTGCACTAAGCACTTGGGTTATTGAGAGTCCTTGGTAAGAATATAATAACATTTCTATTTCCAACAAATGAGGGAGATCATATGGCCTGCTTTTCTTTGAGTATGGCTTACTTCACGTAATCTAATTTTTTCCAAGTCTTTCTATTTCCTAATGAATGGAACAAGGTTATTCTTTCTGATGGAAGCATAGAATTCCATTCTGTATATGTACCACATTTTCTTGATCCATTCATCTACTGAGAATCATTTGGGTTGGTTCCATATCTTGGCTATGATAAGTAATTCTGTGATGAACATCATCATACTGATGGCTTTAGTGTGGCCTTGTTTGTGGTCATTTGGGTAAATTCCCAAAAGTGGGATTGCTGGGTCATAGGGGAACTCTATGTGTGGTTTTTTGAGGAACCACCACACTGCTTTCCAGAGTGGTTGGAATGTTCTAGTTTAAATATTGTATCAGTTTATCATAGGGCTACTAATGGTACTAATTTCAAAATTATTTTCCAAGAAAAAGCAAAGAGACTGAGGAACTCTTGGCCAGTGGAGAGGTAAAAACAGGCATAGCATTGATCAATCAAGTTAGCTAACTTATATAGGTGCAGTTTGTGGTGCATCGAAACAAATAAAATAGACACATGGAAGATCACATACCACAGATATGAAACTTATAACAGATGTCATAATGAAATTTTGCAGTATTATGAGAATTTTCAAGCTGACACAGATGCATCAAGTAGACACATGCAGTTGGAAGAAATGACACCAACAGACAAATTCAGGATACAGATGCAGAAAGTTCAATCACCTATGGCACAATAAAGCAAGGTATGCCTATATTCATGCAATGGAATGTGTTCTACTACAGATGGATGAAACAGGGTTTAGTGTGCTGTAATAACTAGTTTTGGGTCTTTTAGATAATTTATGTGTTTCTGTATATGTACAGAAACTCCTTAACCATGTGTTCCATTTAAATCTTCTACTTACTGCATGACTTTTTTCTTCTGTATAGTTGGATAAAGGCAAACCTTGGTTTATATAAAAAGTTTGGCCTTTTCTCAATACGAAGGTGTACATATCAGACATGTCCCATGTAAGTCAATATGTCTGCTGTATTGTCACATATATATCACATCTATGCATATATAAATGTTATGTATATTTGTATATACATATACAAATGGTTCCTGCGAGGTTGGAGATTTTTATACTAACTTGATCTTTCAATACTATTCAACTTTATTTAATTTATTAATTAATCAATTAATTTGGAGTGACAAGAATTGAGCTTAGGGCTTTGTGTTTGCTAAGAAAGAATACTACCACTGAAGCCATGTGTCCATCCTTGCAATTTCTACTTTGTTTTTCAGGTGGATTCCCTTATTTCTTCCTGGTTTGGCCTCAGACCATGTTCCTCCTACTGCAACCTTCAGAATAGATGGGATTACAAGTGTGTACCACCATGTTATTTAATATTCCATGTCACAGAAATGGTTGTGTTTATTCGGGAACTGGAAAGACAAATGGAATCAGGTTTCTTTCCTCAGGAAAAAAGGAAAATGTTTTGTGATTGTCAGAAACCAGCTGGTTAATTAAGTAGCAGATACAGAGTACATAGAGTTCCCTTCTGGCCAATCTCCCTTCTTCTTAAGTCAGGTCAGTAATGATAACAATTGTATCTAATTCTTGCTGAAGACTTTGTGTGTGCCAAGTACTATTTAAAACCTTTCATATCCTCACTCATTTATTTCTCTGTGTAGTCTACAGAGTGGATATTATTCTAACCTACAAAGAAGCTGTGCACAGAAACCATATTTTTAGGAGAGAGGTTTGTAATGAACAGAAAACTTCAAAATAGTCTGAGGGCTTTCAAATTTTATCCATACATAAAGAAATTAAACTATTCAAGTTTTACTTATACTGACCAATATTCCTTGACATATGCAGTGAATTTATAAAACTAAAATTTAAAAGGATAAAAGCATTTTACATAGATTATCCAAAACCAAAATTTCCTGACTCGGGGCTGGGAAGGTAGCTCAGTGGTAGAGCGCTTGCCTTGCATGCATGAGGCCCCGGGTTCAATTCCTTAGTACCACATAAGCAGAAAAAGCCAGAAGTGGTGCTGCGGCTCAAGTGATAGAGTGCTGGCCTTGAGCTGAAGAGCTGAGGGACAGCACCCAGGCCAAGAGTTCAGGCTCCACGACTGACAAAACAAAAACAAAAACAAAATTTCCTGACTCTTAGTTGAGTGCTCTTTTGGAATTATATGATGATACATCTTTCATCACCATATCTACACTGCCTGTTATTCATCTTGAAACAATAGTTTGAGAAGCAGAGAAGTTAACAGGTCAAGTTGAAGTTGACTAAACAGTCTTCCAGACCAGACCCTAATACCATCAAAGACTTATGTTTTACACAGGAACACTGCACAGATGTGGAACTGCATACATATCAAAAGCACCTATGAGTACATATGCCGTACTTGGAAAGATGTGCTGAGGACTTGTCTACCTACAATTCTGTTTCTTGATGATGATGGGAAGAAGCTTGCTTCATCTTCAATAAGGAAGAGCTCTTGCCGATGTCTGGTGAATTGGGCAGTAAAATACTCAGGGTGAGGATGCTTCACAGTGGCTGGAAGCTTCACTGGCCCAAGCATGTAATTCAAGGGAGTGTACTGAGTTCGGGGAATATCATTCTCCTTAATGGGCATTCTGATTCCCAACACTTCAGCATAAGTAACTAGTACCTCCCAAGGAGCGTGGATCTTGACAAAATAAGTTTTTCCATTTTCAGAGTCCTATGTGAGAAAGAGGTAAAAATCAAAGAAAGCTTTCCAATCTGTTGGCTATTGAGCTTCTTAATAAGTAACCGGATTTTATAAAATCCCATAGATGCCACTGCATTTTTATTTTATTGAATTATTAGAACTTCTAGGGAAACAAATTCTTTTAACAGGTAGGTATTAAAAATACCAAGAAAAACAGAGAAAAAACAAGAATTACAAAATAAAAAACATCAGGCAATACTGGCAGTGCCATACTCAAGGTGTGACCTTAATTAAACCTTTCAAAATAATTTTTAGAAACTGTAGAAAAATAGTAAATGAAAGGGATTTTTGCAAAAGTAAAAGAACTCGATAGGATCAGAATATACTAGTATATTATTATGCTGCAAGATAACTATTTAGGGCACAAGACTGGAAGTAGCCTTCAAAAATAGATATGAAACCAAGACCTCCTTTATTCTTTTTGATATTCAGAAGAAACAATAATGTGTTCCACTGACCATCTGACATTCTATACACTGATCTACACACTGAGGTGTACGACCACAGATTGAGTATCTTTGGTGAACATATCTACAGCCAAGAGTTATGCATTGTTCTAATCACAAAATCTATCTAGCTAAGGGCCCAAAGAGGAGAAAACACCACTCAAAAAATAAGATTGTGTGTAAATCATCAATTATATTTACCCGTTTGTCTTCAATTTCCAACTCAAGACCTGATTTTCTGAGATTTCTTTCAAACTCTCTTCTTCTTTCCTATAGGCAAAATAAATGCATAGGATGACTCCACAGAATACCGTGTTTTATTTTCTCAGTGATTGGTAGACTCAATACACTCTTGCTGTGCTTCCAGATGGTTCTCTGCCCCCTCTCCTGGGACAATATAATTGTACTCTCCAATACTCACATCTTAAGATGTGAGGCACAGCACTAATCTAAAGTATTATAGCTGATAATGACAATGAAAATACAGGATGTTTATAAATAATTTCTAAAAAAATGCAAGCTCTCTATTTGAAGAGATGTTCAATACAGAATAAAATTGAAAACTTCCATAAACACAAAGATAAAACATGTTCTTAGTTTCAAGGCAGAATATTACAAAAACCAATAGCATTTAAAGATATCATAAATTCAGTGTCAATTTCAGCCACAATAGCATCATCATCACATTGTCATCATCCTCATCCTCATCAACGATGGCAAATGTTAGAAAAGTAATATAGGACTGAACTTGCCCACTGGTTTATAATTGGTGATGAACAGAGGGGTTGAAGGGGGCCCTGTTAGGAATAGATTTAAGAAGGAATTAGACAAAAATGTTGAGAAGTAAACAATAGCTGGTAGGGAATCTGTTATCTTCAGAAAAATTTTAAGATTTCATATTTGACTTGTTTTCTTAATAGGAATAGTTAACAGGCTATATATTTTTGGAAGGAAATAGTCCCATAAGAACGAAACAAAATATAATTTAGGTGAGAGAGGAAAAATGGTAAGAGTAATATCCATAAGTAGGTATACACCACAGAATGAATACAACAGGTATGAAACTCGAATCCTGCTGGCAACTTTAGAAAGGCTGGTCCTATAGTAAAGGACTGTAGTTTTCTGGAGAGTTCTCAATACCTTCAGTACTTAAGGAATAGCATACTTTCCCTAACTGTACAGTGTACTTCATGCTAATAATTAACTTTCTTTCTGGAAATAAGGGACTTATAATGACCTACAAAGGAAATGAGAAGGTGGCCAACCTACAATTAAAACCTAGGAAATGGGTGGCCAATGAGTCTGTACTACACAGAACATGTCACATGGGTTGTCTTAGTAGAGAAGTTAAATCTGTCCTTACATATCAGGACACAAAGTATCATCTTTCTTTATATCTGCATCTAGTTTTGCTTGGAGTTTATCTCATCAGTCTTTTTCTTTGTGCTTTTGCTTGGTTAAAAGCAAAGCCATGAACTTTAACAACACATAGCCATAAACATGTATCCTGGGAGTCTTTCTAATAAAGCACTAAACTTAAGGGGTGGTCTTGGAGACTCCAATTTGCTCATAAAGTTAGATTTAGAAAGAATGATAGAGTTTTTAAATGGTAACAGAAAGGAAGGCAAATATATTACATGTATGCAAAAATGTTGATGGGTAGACACGTGATGGTGGAAATTTAAGGAATTCTTATTGTTTAGGTTTAATTCCTTTTTCAAAGAAGGAGAGAAGTATGGCTAGCTTTAGCTTGAAGATAGCAAGTAAGTACAAGAAAATGATGAAAAAAATAAGCTATGTAAAAGTCTTCCAGCATAAAGGTAGACCAGAACACAGTAACAAGGATAAAATAAGTTAAATGAATTTGTGGAATGTTAAATATATCGAAGATCATTATTTCCATATATATGAATACTTGCACATACAAATTAATTTATTAATTCACTCTTTAAAATATCAGATATTTATTAAGCATCTATTATATCTCTATCACTATTCTGGACATCTGAGCAGACAGTAGTGAACAAGTGAAAAGATTTTGGCCTCATGGCCTTATTTAATCATTAGAGACATTAAATACATTATAAAAATGTGAAAAAGAAGTTTAAGTTCAGAAAGTAATGAGTATTCTAATAAAAATAAAATGAAGCCAGTAACACAGCACAGGATGAAATATATTTTAGGTCAGATTAATTAGTCACACATTTTCAAAATGAAAACTGCAGAGCAATTGCAGTAGCGATACTCACTAGACACTATATTGAAAATAAACTATACAACTTGGGGGTAGGGTTGGAAGGGAAAAACTGGGAGAAAATGAAGGAAGAGGAGACCCTATTCAAAAAGAAATGTACTCATTACCTGACTTACAAAACTGTAATTCTTCTGTATATCAAATTTACAATAACAATAAAAATATCCATATTATATTCAGAATCATACTTCTCACTTTAGAGGTCACATTTAATATCAAGAAGAGAGTTTTATAAATGCACTAGTCATTTGAAAGAAGAGGAAAAAGCAGTAAGTTTCCAAAATATCTACAGAGAGAAGTCACTTGACACATCCATTCTTAAGACTTCTAACCTTGCAGTCTTCTGAGTCAACTTCAGCTTCAAAAAATATAACTTTCCCAGAATAATTTAATGCAAACATCTCTTTGAAACTATAGGAGGTACATCTTTGTGTTATCTCTATTCATCTCAAATAAACACTCACCGCTTTTATGTCTAAATCTTTCTTTACATCTTCCACATAGGAAAGGACAAAATCAATTTGCCTAACCCCATCTCGGAAGAATATAGAATCTTTGCTTTGTTTATCTCTTTGAAACTGCAGGAGACAAAAATGACATTTGGGTTATTGTTTACTCTCAAATGGCAAAAACATGAAGATTATTTAAAATGTAGTCACCACCCAATTTTTATGTCTTGAAATGACAAATCACAGCAGGAAAGTATGCACATTCTGTAAGGTAAAAATCCATGGATGGGATTAGACAGCAAAAATTCAGAAAGAAGTTAAGCATATTAACTACATGCACTCACACATATACAAATACTACAATTATATGAAAATACAAAATGAATAAAATTGTACTTTGTGACAAAAATGCATGTTTAGAGAGAAACTTGTTATTCTCATTAGCAAGGCAACTGTTTCAAATAATTACACACTTCTTTCAGGTTATAATTAATTACAACCTGATTAATGGCATTTTGCTGCAAGACAATAAATCTATGATTAACACTTACTGATCTTAAAATCGTCACTTTCTAATCTAATACTTAAATATTCAAATAAAGTCAATGCCTAGTTCATAGTTAGAAAGCAGATAACTTGCTAGCTGACCTTGCCATAAGTATGTCTTCATGCACTGTCCCTTACTGACAATTTATCAGATTAAAACAAATCTTGACTAAATTTGTATGAATTACTTCAATACAAGAACACAACTTAGAACTTGCACATGCTGTATAATTTAATAATTACTTCCTTTTCAAAGTATTTAGAATCAATGGAGAGTATCAGACAAATGAGATTTCACATTTGAGTGATTTGGACTTCTTCACTGTTTATATGTAAGATTTAATAATACTGTTGCCTACATGCCATGCTTAGAATTATGCAAATGTGTGATGTATGTAGTTATTATCAGTGAGACGGTTTTCCAATTGCTTTAGCTAACTTGTGAGTGGGGAATTCAACACCTGAATTTTCACAATGGACATTTCAATTAGCTTATGAATTTCTTTTATGAGGCGTTTTTCACTCAGAGGCCAGACCAGTGACCCAACATCAGAAATTGATATAGATCAGTCCTGAACAAGTAAGATTCCATGTTTGATCTGTGGTCTACGAACATGGTGACTCTATTTATGACTAAGTAGGTAGCTGATATGCCTCAGAAACAGCCAGGGGTCAATGCACAGGAGAAAATGAGCAGCTCAAAGATTCACTTCTAAAATACATTAATTCAGATGTTATGTCTGTGTTCTCTGTACCCCGACTAAAGAACAAATTAACCTAAGGATATTCAAACCACTATCATGTTATGACTTGGTTCATCGAAAAACTAAAAACAAAACAAAAATGTAAAATAATCACTGGCACTTTTGTAAACTATAGTTTAGCATGTTTTATTAAACTTACAAAAATTTTGGAAACCACAAATTCTTTTGAAGCAAGAAGTAAAATCAAATGAAACCCAACACACGTGTGAAAAATAAATCAGATTAGGTATAATCAAAGCACAAAATTAGATGGGAAAATAATAAACATATTACTTTAATTCTGTGGCAGCCATATTTGTATGGTAGATTTAGAAAAATTGGTTAGTATTATTAGCTGTGTTTATATTGCTTGGACAAGCTAATCTAGGGCCACAAAGGTAAGTTCTGGTGACAGTGACACATAAGCAAATAAACATTCAGTATTTTGATAGGTTATTGAAAACACAGCTAAAAAGAACAGAGATTTCAATTATTGTCCTTCTTCAACAGCCAAAATGTGTTTCCTTCCTGTGAAAGCCAACAAAACTCATATCATTATGTAGAACCCTAACTATGAGCAATTCAGAAATGAAAAATACAGAAAAATCAATGATAGCTTTCTAAATTGCCAAGACGTAAGCATTTTAGGATTATTAATAAAAACTGATCAAAGTGGGGGAACTGTGGCTCACCCCTGTAATCCTAGCTACTCAGAAGGCTCAGATCTGAAGATCATGGTCCAAAGCCAGCTGGGGAAGTCTATGAGATTCTTATAGTAACTATCAGAAAGCTGGAAGTGGCGCTATAGCTCAAAGTGGTAGACCGCCCTCAAACCTTCAGCAAAAGGTCCCAGGGACAGCACCCAGACCCCCAGGTTCAAGCCCTATGACTGAACAACAACAACAACAACAAAATGAAAAGCAACAATAAAAAAAGCTGATCAAAGACAACTGCAACAAACAAATTAGCTAGTTGTTATATATAATTAAAACACATCATGTTTTTGTTTAGTGCAAACATGACATAACAATCATATCTGCCATGTGTAGGTATTTGTGTTTACATTTCTTTTCTTCTCAATGTCTTTATCTATAGTATCTGAGAGGCTTTCCTTTGAGTGATATTCTAGGATTCCTAAATTTCTCATTCTAACAGAGGTCAAAAACCTCAGAAACGATTTAAATTTTATTTGTGCATGTAGTATGTTTTTAGGAAGATAGGTCAGAGATCTCACTAGTTCCAAACAGTAGTGAAAATAATCATTCTTCAATGTCAATTGCTTTTGAAGTAGGAACTAGGAATTAGTGACAGGGTCGTCCAATATTAAATGCATTCATTGGAAGAAACAGTATCCACACTATTACTGCAGCCATCAGAGCATCAGTGGCATCATTCAGCACTGTTTTACCATAAGTCGCCGTCTCAGGAACAAATTGAATCGCTTTGCAGGCTGTGAAGCAACCAACAAAGAGTTAGCATATACTCACCAAAGATTAAAATGAAGGCTGCACTAATGAATGGGTGATGAAATAAAATAGACGTATACCAAATGAGACTTCAGTATAATCATTCCTTTCGTATCTATGTTTGTGAGATATTTAAAGCTGTCAGGTAATAGTAGTTAGTAAGAAGGCAAGAAGAAAAAATAGTAAGAAAGCAATAAAAATTTGGTAAAAGAGAAAAGAAAAGCCTTCATTATCTATTTCCCTAAATCTTTCACAAATGACTTGTATTTGTTGAATCAAATTAAGGAAGAAAGGGAGAGATAATGAATACAGTATGGGAATAATAGAAACAAAACAACTATGCTGATAAACAAGCTTTTACATATTAAAATTCTTACATTTGCATTTATTACTACAATTACTTGGTTTACACAACAATTATTACAACACTTAATTACTATAATTATACTGAGGTAATTCACAATATGGAATGCTTACAAATAATGTTTTAAAAAATATTCATGGTTCCCCAAAACAATTAAAAGAAAAATTTAATTATTATTTTAATGCTTTAATCATTTATTATTATGGCCATTATTTAAACCCTAAAGAAATAGCTTGATGATATCTAGGATAAGCAATAATATATGAAATAAATAAAATTTATAATATAAAACACAGTAATGAATACACAAGCCTAGTAAAATGTCATAGAAGATGCTCAGGGCTAGTCAGGAAGTTTTAGTTCAGCTCTTCAGGAATTCATGGACCAGGCTGAAAATTCCTAAGCAGAGGAGACTGTGAGAGTAAAAGTTCTTGGTCTGTGAAGTGATAAGTTGTCTGTGTATAGATAAGGAGTAAGAGCTGTGAAGAAAATTAGTACTTGTATAAAGTATAGAATGGAAGTCTTCATATAAAGTATGAACTATACTCTGTTAGCCTCAACTGTTTTATTTTCCTGGCATTTTTGTTCATTATATTCTCCAGCTACTTTTTTTCTCTAGTGCTTGCCTTTAAATTTGTTACCAAATTGTAAGAAAAAAGGAGAGCTCTAAACTAAGGGGATATACATTATGAGTTCAATTGGCCTAGATGTGACTTAAGTTAACCCAAAAGGGATTGTAGACCTAATCATAAAATCTAATAGTATAGAACTGAAGAAAATATGAGAAACCTCCCTTACTTTGAGACAAACAAGTACATCTTAGAATATGAAAGCTTAGACTATAAAAGAAAAAGGAAAAATCCACTTTTGAAAGATTTTTAAATTTGCTTTTAGGAAACAATTTTATGTAAATGAAAACAAAGCAATCAATTCCATGCAAATAGTCATGATAAATGATTCTGACAAAGGTCAGAATATATTCTAAAATAAATGTTTTAAATGTTTTTATTGTAAGAAATTTTTTTTACAAGTCAAAGAAGATGATTAGAAGTTGGCTGCATGGATCAGTTGGTAGGATCTGCAAATAGTGACTATTCCATAGAATAAAGCATAGAAAGGAAGAAAAAATAGAATCATTTTATAGAGCAGAGACCAGACCTGACCAAAGCTACTTGAAGCTAATAATCAAGGTTAAAGCCTCAGGAGTGGTAACTCCTGTGGATGGAATGTGCTGTGGATCTGTTATAATGACACTAATGCTTCTACTTCCTGCAAAAATGTATTAACATATTCGCCAAGCTTAATCATGAGAAACAGTTTAAAAATGGATGGACATTCCACATAAAACCTGACCAAATATACTCCTCAAAACTGTGGTCATTAAAAAAAAAAACACACTAGGTGCTCATGGCTCATGCCTATAATCTTAACTAGTTAGAAGGCTGAGACATGAGGATCACATTTTTAAGCCAGTCCAGGCAGGGATGACCATGAGGCACATATCTCCAAAAAGCCAAGTAACATTTACCAACAAAAAGCAAGATATGTAGCTATTGTTCAAGAGTTAAACAATTAACCTTGAGGAAAAGGCTAAAGCACCCAGACCAAAACTCAAGCCCCAGTACCAGAGCAGGAAGGAAGGAAGGAAGGCAGGCAGGCAGGCAGGAAGGAAGGGAGGTAAGAGGGAAGGAAGGGAGGGAGGTAAGAGGGAAGGAATGAAGGAAGGAAGGAGGGAGGGAAGGAGGGAAGAAAAGAAGGAAGGAAGGAAGGAAGGAAGGAAGGAAGGAAGAGAGGGAAGGAATGAAGGAAGGAAGGAGGGAGGGAAGGAGGGAAGAAAAGAAGGAAGGAAGGAAGGAAGGAAGGAAGGAAGGAAGGAAGGAAGGAAGGAAGGAAGGAAGGAAGGCAAACAAAGAAAAGGAAAGAAAAGAAAATGAGTATGAAAAGAACAAGGCAAAGAAAATGGCCATCATATTGGTATTGAAAAGATAAGACAGTAAGGCAGTATTCTCTGAAAGTGCTTTACTACCTCCTTTTAATCTGTGATAGACTTAACTTCAAAATAATTTAGTTTAAACACTGGGTGTGACTTGCATCTCTCCTTTCTTAGGATTTGGGATGGACTTTAGCATTGTTTCCTCATGGTTGATTGTGTTTCTTAGTGAGTGACACCAAAATTGTGTAAGCTTTAGGCTTCTCTGAACTTTGATCTATAGTTTTCAACTCCAGGATCACATAAATGTTTTCCATGATCAAAATTTAAAAACAAAAGAAAAAGAAAACCAAGTAGTGAACTTTTTCATTTTTCTTTCCAGCCTTTCAACCCTAATCCAGAATCCTAAATATTAGAACCTAGGGAAAAATAAATCATAGTCAATATTAAAGTACTATCTTCTCAACTTCCCAAATAGCATATTTACTCATCAATAATTATGTTTGGGGTCTTTACTGACCTTTCAATTGACATTGCAATTTAATTCTTATATAAGTTGGGATTCAAGATTATTCTTAGCATATGTTTATAGATAAGAAAAGTGATGGAGAAAGTATACTGAAGAAAGCTTTAGAAATCTTAGTCCCAGTCAAAGATCCACCCTCATAAACATATGGATAATTTTGGCCAGGAGATTTAGACTGTTCATTTTTCTATTTGTAAGAATAGGAAATATTAAGATACTAACCAAATGCTATGATTGATGTGTCATTTTAATCAGTACATCTAATGTTATTTTTTTCTTTAGATAAATATGTACTAAACCAGGTATAGTATCATAGGCCCATAATTCTAACACTCAGGAGCAGATGCAGGAAGATGAAGAGTTTAAGCTCAACCTCATCTACACAGTGACATCTTGTGTGTTTAAAATTGGGAGGAAGCGGGAGAAAGCTTAAAGAAATATATACAGTTGGTTATAGTGAACACGTCTATGAAATTGAAACAATAAACCTTTTTGTTGTGGGATGGAAGGGATAGTAGGAGAACAACAAAAGAGGGGGTAACAATGCTCAACAAGAAAATACTTATCACCTTACTCGTGTAACTGTAACTCCTCTGTACAGCATCTTTACAATAAAATAAAATTTAAAAAACTCATGTATTGCTCATATGTGCAAATAAATAAAATGTGTTAAAATCAAAAGTACACTAATTTTCTCAAGTAATAATTTCTCAAATACCACACATGAGGGTCTGACGAACAACTGATTGGGAAAGATGCTACATCTACTGCAGAGATGCCCCCTGTATGTCAGGCAGGCAAGGAAAGTACTGGTAGCTGCTTACCGCTGTTTCTTCACTGATGAGAAAGCTGGTTTCTCTACTGCTCACATCCTGTTAACAGCATCAGAGGAAATGCAATGCTGTTAGTAATAGTGCAAGAGAAGTTAAGTGGGCCATTAAGTAGCTATAGCAAAGAAAGGAAAAGGAATTCTCTATGCAGGAATACTAAAGGAAAGGCTCAAAGAAAGTCTGAAACTCGAACATGTACGCAAAATTGTGTTTATACATGCTCCTACGTGTTGATGCCCATATGAGGATGTGTATCAGTAAGTGTATATTTGATTATGTCTCTGGGTGTGTGTGGAGAGAGACATAAAGAGTGACTGAGAGAAAAAGACAATGTGGAAGACAGTTTGACTACATAAGAAAAGACCTTGTGGAAATGGCCCCAAACTACTACATTGTAAAAAATAAAAGTAAAAAAAAAAAAAAGAGGTCTGTTCTTTTACTCATACTGAATTCTGAATAGGAGAAAATTAATTGGCTATGTTATACAATTCATCATTGTTTTGAAATTATAAAAGTGAACTTGGAAATGTATCAGCAAGATTCTTAAGAACATGAAATTATAACTCAAGGGACAAATTCACACATGCATGTAAATACACACAGGCCATTTGTAATTAAAGCATTTCCCTCTGTGTAGTAGGTTTTAACATCTTCATGTAACTCAATCAACCACATATCATGGAACAGTTCTGAGACCACATATTCACTTCTCAGTAGTTACTAGGATCAGGTATTGTGTATTAAGAGTGGCAACAGAGACAGAGATGACCCAAAATTCATGTCTATACTAAGAGCTCACTTATGATCTTAGAACACAAAACCTAGCAGATGTTACTAGATGATGTATGAAAACAGCCAATAAAAAGTGAAAATGGAGCTGGGTACTATTTGTTTATGCCTATAATTCTAGCTACACATGAAGCTGGGATCTGAGTATTGTGGTTCAAAACCAGCCTGGGCAAGAAAGTCCATAAAACTCTTACCTCAGATTATTCACCCCAAAATGCCTGGAGTGGAGCTGTGGCTCATGTGGTACAGTGCTAGCCTTGAGCACAAAAGCCCCGAGACAACACTCAGGCTCTGAGTTCAAGCCCCAGAACCAGAAAAACAATAACAACAAATAAACAACAAAAAAGAAAACCACATAGTAAATACTCCAAAAGCCAACAGATTGATAACTTTACAACGTCTCACTTTAGATAATTTGTATCTTCTTCCTCTTTCTTTTCTTAAATAGAGCAAAATAAAGACAAAGAATTCTTATCTTTTCAAAGAACTAACTCTGTTTCATTGAAACACAAAGACATAACTATTTATGTGGCATAGCATGCTAATCTTGCACTGGTCCTTTCTTACAATAAAGTTAATACATGTATCATTAACTTACCTCATTCATTTGGATAGAAAATTCCATTTCTTTATCAGTTGAGATCCCTAGATGAAATAAGGAAAATAAAACATATTACATTGGTCAACTAATCTTGCTATGTTCAAATATATACACAGAGAGAAAATTGGAATTCAATAAGCAAATATAACTCAAAGAATAATTAAGAAAATGTGGGAAAAAAACTTTCTGGAAATTGTTCAAAACATTCCCCAAAAGAAATCTCACTAAAATCTGTTTATAATCTAGAAGGAGTATATCAAACACTGGAATTAAGATTGAACAACATAATCTCTCTTTCTCATTTTTTTTGTCAGTCGTGGGGCTTGAACTCTGGGCCTGGGTGCTGTCCCTCAGCTTTTCGGCTCAAGGCTAGCACTCTGACATAAGTTTAACTGAGCAATATACAGCCAAAATGTGTATCCATTGGTATCTATGCATTGGTGTTCTCATGTGAGATTTAATGTTTTCAACACCTATTCTCCAGAATGATACCAGACCAATTGTTGAGAAAAAGCTCCAATACACCTAATTTATAATAGGCTACATTATTTTTTTCATTTACAGATATCTTCAAAATGAATACGCCCTTTAGTCATTTGGACAAAATACAGTGTTTAAATGACTTTCTGACACTAAAAAATGTTATGCAGAGAATTTTGATTGTTATTTGCTAGTGGTTCTAACTTGGAAAAACACTGAAAAGTATTTTTGAAGTGAGAACCTTCCTACATATGAACTATTTTTGGAGAAAATATCACAAGAATGAAATAAAATGTTGCTACCACTTAACAATCATCTGAAATAAGTATGATTTTAGGAACAGTATATATTCCAAAATTATAAAAGATCTACCATTTGTATAGCTTTTAGTGCTATCCAAGAAACACAATTCAAGTCACAGAACAGATATATGATAAATGAACTGACTCAAACTGTAAGAACCCAATGATGATACAAATCATGAATATTAAGTGGAATCACCAGTAGGGTTAGAAGAGCATCATAATGTACTTTTAAAAAGAGGAAGCACAACCACTCAATTTTATTACAGAATGTAGGTAAGATTATTCTGTTATTATTGTTCTACTATAATTGTAAAGCTCTTAGTTGCTTAATTGCTAAATTTAACCTAAGTAGCTGAATGTCAGTGGCTCACACCTATAATCCCAGCTACTGGGAAGTTGAGACCTGGAGGATCAAGACTTGAGGCTAGTCTAGGGAGAGAAGTCTGAGATTCATCTTTACTCAAAGAGAAACAGCGAGGCTAGAGGCTTGGCTCAAGTGGTAGAGTGCCAACTGTGAACAAGAAAGCCGAGTGAGAGCATGAGGCCCTGAGTTTAATCTCCAATAGCTCCACTATCAGTGTGTGTGTGCACTCTCACACATATGCACACAGCACAGCACAACATGGGCATGATCTCATAGGGAATATAGGACACTTAGGGTTTAGTTCTATCTGAAGTTCAGATACTTCTGGTACTGGAATGATGTTCTTCACAAATAAGAAGACTCTGAGGATTGGGAAGAGCCCTGTGCTGCAGCAAACAAAACAAAGCATGCTTAGCTCCCTTGCCAGCACGTCAAATCAATTCAGAACTCTCATCTTTAAGTGGCAGAAGGTTTATATCATGAGGTGTTTGCATGCATTAAATGAGATAATGTGCATACTTAGGGTACAGGAGATCAATGAATGTCCATTATTATTAGGATATAGCCCAGTCTTTTTTTCATTTTTTATTGTCAAGGTGATATACAGAGAGATTATAGTTACATAAGTAATGTAATAAGTACATTTCTTGTCAAACTTGTTACCCCTTCCTTCATTTTTCTCCTACTTTCCTTTCCATCCTCGCTTCCCGCCCCCCAAGTTGTACAGGTCATTTCCAACATACTGTCTTATGTATATTGCTATTGCATCGGTTTTATTGTGCAGGTGGTGTACAAAGGGGTTACAGTAACATCATAAGGTAATGAGTGCATTTCTTTTTGAACAGTGTCACCCCCTCCCTCATTTTCTACCAGTTTTTCCCTTCTGTACCCTCCATCCCTCAAGATGTTTAGGTCATTTCCAGCATAGTGACCAGTATCACTGCTGAGCTGGATCCTTATAAATTTTTGAATTTAGTAAATTTTCTGAGTTCAGTTTCAGAATCTGAGAATCAAGTTGAAACAACTCTTTTTGTATTGTAACCTGAAGTTACAGTGACCTTAAGTTAAGGGACCTGTGTTGGGAAGTCATTAGACCTTAGAGGGCATCAGTCAGGAAAGATACTAGGTAGTTCCCAAGGGACTCCAGTTAGTCCTGGGATAATAAGATGTTGCAAAAGAGAAGGCCAGGCTCCTGAGTATCTCTTGCTAAGTGATCTCTCCCTCTCACACAACATGGCCACAGTGTCATCTCCCATCTGGTGACACAACCAGGAGTCACCAGGCTGAACAGATGAGGCCAACTGATCTTAGCTCCAAAACCTGAGAGCTGAATAAAAACCCTTTTCTTTCTAAGGAATCCAGCCTCAGCTATGATGTTATACTAACACACACACACACACACACACACACACACACACACACACACACAGAATTGATATTTCTTAGCAGAAGTAAAGACAAATACAGTTAGAAGAAACATATGTTTGGTGTTTCAAATTGTGGAACTTGAACTATTGACTTTAGGAAGCTTTTATTTTCTTGGGCACAAAATTGGTCATTATTACACCAAAGAACAATTCATTAAACAAGACAAAGTTCTCAGCCCTGAACAATCAAGTGGTTTACAGAATATTTTATAATTCCATTCTCACAAACTAGGTGAAAACGGCTAGTGCTAAGTCTCTCCCCCTCCACTCTCCTCCCCCTCCCCGCCACCTAAAGAATTTGCAGCTAATGTTTTTTGTTTTTTGTTGTTGTTGTTTCACCAGGGGAACAAACATTTCCAATCTCTTATTGAAATTAATGTAATATACCTGAAAATTAGAAAAGGACCACTGACTTCCGGATCCACCCTCTCCATCACTGTCAGTACTCTCACACCTTAACCTTCCTGCACCCGCCTTCTCCCCTTAGAATGAACAACTGTTGCCTTCCCTGGCTCACTGTTCCTTACATTTCCATTATGTCAGGTCAGGCATTTGTCTATTAAACCTTCTCTCCCAATCACCCCAGGAGTACATTTTATAAGACGTGTCCTTTCCTGAATGGTACAAAGATTCAAGAACATCGATTTGTGTCCTTCCACACAGCTAACTCACTCACGCATCCTGTTCACTAGTCTCAACTCTCTTTCTCACATAGATGTTCATACAGCAGACACACATTCACACTCACAGAGTCTGATAATGTAGTAACAGTGCACAATCGGCAACCCTCTGTCAAAACAGGCCTATTGGAAGAGGTACAATAAGGAACCAAGTCGGTATTTTGCTATTCTCCACTCCACTTCCTCTAAAAGCAATCAAAGTGGCAACACTAAAGTGGCAACAGTCACTCATGTATGTCAGAAACTCAACTTTGAGTTGAGTTTGAACTTTGAGTTTTCACTGGAAGCACATGACTAAGAATATAATATCCAGCAAACCCAGCATCCACAAATAGCCCTGGCATTTACCAAATGTCCCTCTCAGTTTACACTCTTACAAGTAGGATAAAGTAAGATACAGTCATATGCTGGCATAGCAACATTTATGTCAACAACAGACCCCATATATGAGTGTTTTTTGAAGATTATAATACAGCCTGTGTTTTTCCCATATCTATGAAATTACATAATGATATATAGGTAGAGCAAGTCCTGTCATCAAATGACTTACAACTGCATATTAAATCAAATATACATATGCAGTTTGATTAGACGCAGTATATAATGGACTCAGGCAACTTTACATTTAACTTTAAGCCATTTCCACTGTGAAATGCGGAACTGCCATTTCCATGGCTGATTGTTCACAAGCCAATGAAAATATTATTATTGACAATCAGAACTTCCTAACCACACCAGCCAGGCAATGGTTTAGTTCTAGAAACATTAACATTTCACTAGAAGAGTTTGCTTATACAGATATTTGAATATCTATTACATCTGGCTGCTACAATTTCACTTTAAAAATTAGGAGACAGAGAGAAACTAATTGGAAAGTTCTGATCACTTGTGTTCAACTGTGGAGAAAATGGTTCAGAAAATATAACAAATCTTAGAAATACTTCATTAACTGGTATACCTAAAAGGCTGAGATGTTAACTATGTTTCTAAAAAAAATAACATCATTCACATGGAGATCTATTATTTAACTCACTCATTTTTAATTGCCTAAATTAATTTAGGAGACACTGAACTAACCTAGGTAAGATTTGCACATGTGGGTGATTTTACTCTGAAAAATGCATTTGTATTTTGTAACAAAGAAATAAAAGAAACTTTTCCTAAAAAGTTGATACTACAGGGGCTAGGGAGGTGGCTTGCATGCATAAGGCCCTGGGTTCAATTCCGCAGCACCACATAAACAGAAAAAAAAGCAGCATTGTGGCTCAAATGGTAGGGTGCTAGCCTTGAGCTGAAGAGCTGAAGGACAGCATTCAGGCCCCACGAGAGACCAAAAAAAAAAAAAAAGGTGATACTACAAATCCTAGATAATCTGTAGCCTCTCTCAGTTAGCATTTTTGTTTTTATGTCAGTAAATTCTAAAAATATAAAAATAAAAGATAACCTAAAAGCAGGCTTTCAAAAGTCCTTAATTACTAGTATTAAAAAATGTAACATATCTTTATTACAAGATATTTTCATAAAACTTCAGCAGTAACCAAGGTCCAGATAATGGACAGCAAAACCAGAATAATTAGCTTCTATTTGGTGTCTCTGGTCACCTTCCTGCTTAGCCCTTGCTCTCAATAATGTCCGCTGCTTGAGTTCTTGATCTATGATCAAGAATGAACACAAAACATGGGTGCAGTTATTGAACTATCAAATACATGGTATTTCTCACTAATGTCCTTTCCTCTCACCTCTACCAAAATCAGCTTTGGTTCTGAGGAAACATGAAGAAATTACAAAGTCCTTTGGCAAAGGCAGGGAAGCCGAAATCAATTTGGGAAAAGATCTTAAACCTTTTGGGATGGATTTATGCTATAAACAAACTATGCTAAAATGTTACTGACTTTATAGACTCCAGTAAGCAAAACATTACTTTGAACCAAAATTACATTGACTTTCAACCAAGTGGGTGTAAACCTCTGTAATCCAATATTGAAATTGCTCTTAATTATACAGAGAATGTTATTTTGTTCCTTTAAAAAATAAAGTTTAGCCAGGTGGCTCATGCCTGGAATCCTAGCTTTACAGGAGGTTGAGAACTCAGTATCTCTGTTCAGTGCTAGCCTGGGCAGGAAAGGTTATGAGACTCGTATCTCCAATTAACCCCCCAAAAATGGTGCTATGGCTCAAAGTGATAGAGTGCTAGCCTTGAGCAAAAGAGCTCAGGAATAGAGCCCAGGCCCTAAAAGAAAAAAGTTTGCAGTTTTATCTCAATTTATATCAGAATGTACAATTGTATGTAATTACTGATTCAGATTTTATAAAACAAATATTTAGGTATTTTATCATGAAAGTTATAATGGTAAATAATTCTTTGAAAAGTTTAAAAAATAAAATAAATATGGGGGAAAACCCTTCCAGGTTTATACTTCTGAAAGTTGACTTTATCATCACCAAATAAATCATTTTCTCTAGCAGATACATTTAATACATCTCTGTGTATGATAGCCTTGAGCAAACAACAACAACAACAAAAACAAACAACAAAATACTCAGGGACAACATTCAGGCCCTGAGTTCAATCCCCAGTATCTGCATCAAAAAATAAGGGAGGAGGATTTCAAGTGACTCCAACTAAGACAATATAATGAAAGGCAACTCAAAAAAATGGAAGAAAATATTTTCAAATTCCATATTTCTATAGGGACTTGCATATAGAACATATAAAGAATTAGCTCCTACAAACCAATAACAAAAGACAACTCAAATTTATAAACAGTCAAAAAATCTGAATACACATTCTCTGAAATATATATGTAAATGTCAAAAAATTATACAACATCTGCATGCTAGAGACTGGAGGAAATACAAATCAAAATCACAGCCAGTTACAAATTTACAAAAGCAAACTATCAAGTGTTGGTGAGGATGTGAAGAAACTGGATCCTTATATACTCCCTGTGGCAATGTAAAACAGTTCAGAAACGTATAAAGCAGTATCGCGGTTTCTTAGAATATCCAATTTAAAGCTTCTACAAGATGATCTAGCAATTGTTCTCCTAGTGTTATACACACGAAAAATTAAAACATCAGTCCATATAAAACAGGTTAGACCCATTGCAACAATGAAATGTACAAGATGCTATGTTGAAAAACGAACTTTACAACTTGGGGGTGGGGGGAGATGGGAGGGCAGGGATGGTAAGGGGAAACAAAGGAGGAGGGAGCAATGCTTGGTAAGAAATGTACTCATTCCCTTGCTCATGTAATTGTAACCCCTCTGTATGTATTTTCACAATAAAAAAACTTAATAATAATAAACAAGAATATTCATAGTAGCACCATTCCTAGTAGCAAAACGTGTCAATAACCAATAGGTCTACAACAGATAGATGTACATATGCCATGGACTATTACTTAGCAATGAAAAGGCACCTAGCACTGCTACACCAATGAACTTCCAAAACACATGAAGTGTCTCAGACATGAAGTGCCCGGGGTAGGCAGGCAGTAAATAGATTTGTTCTGCTAAGGACAGAGGGTATTAGGCCTAAATGTGCAAAGCTATGTGGTTTTGTATAGACTAAACAGCACATGGAATAAATATGGAGGGGACTGAGATCCTTAAGATAGCAGCAGAAATATACATGCATTTCCAGGAAGAAAAAAAAAAGACATGCTCACTAAAATAGAGCTACAGAATATAGGTCTACAGGTCTGTGCAACGAAAACATCGTAGCAAAGAGTGGACAAATATTTCTTTTTTTTTCTTTTTTGAACTCTGGGCCTGGGCGCTGTCCCTCAACTCAGGTCCGTGCAAAGAAAACATCGTAGCAAAGAGTGGACAAATATTTTTTTTTTCTTTTTTGAACTCTGGGCCTGGGCGCTGTCCTTCAGCTCTTCAGCTCAAGGCTAGTGCTCTACCACTTGGGCCACAGCACCACCTCCGGCTTTTTTCTTTTTGCTATGTGGTGCCGAGGAATCGAACCCAGGGCCTCATGCATGCAAGACAAGGGCTCTACCACTGAGCCACCTTCCCAGCCCCGGACAAATATTTCTTAAAAGAGCCAAAGCTTCATTTACCACATCAACAAAAACAGCAACAAAAGGATCAGCGTTCCCAAGAGTGTTTTAAACGGACAGCCCTTTGAGAAGCATTTGAAAATAACTTAAAAAAACATGTATTTTATTTATTGCCAATTGGCAAAGAGAGGTAGAAAAAAAAGAAGGAAAAAAAAAAGGCTAGACAGGAGCCATCTTTCTAGCAGGTGGAGCGGCGGTCATGCGCTTTAAACCAAGCCTGGCTTTGGGAATCCTTCCTACCAGAGTCTGGAATCCGAGGCTGGAGCATGGCAAAGAGCATGCCCAGAACGCAGCTACTTGGAACCAGGGCTGCAAGGAATCAAGGGATGCGGAAGGGTTTGGGGAGGACATAGTGTACAGGTCCCTGAAGTAGCTGGGGGCGGGGGGGGGGCGTGGAGAAATCGCTGAAATCCATCCCAAGCCAGGGCTGACAGTCCTGCAGCCAGTCTCGCGCCAGGGTGCACCACGCAGCGGCGAACGTCCCCGGGATTCGGGCTCCACCGCCTCCCGCCCAACGTCCCCCGCAGGAACCCCGGTGCTCTGCGGAGAAGAGCCGCGTGCAGCCCGCCCGTGCCCAGTTCCACGCCAAGCGCTCCTACCTTCCTCCTCCACCATTTCCAGAAGATTGGGGTCGCCCATCATCGCCAGCTGGTTAATGACACTGACGCCCGAGAAACAGCGACCCAGGGTCCGCAAGGAAACGCTGTGAGGCGTCCCGGGGCCGATCCCGAAGCGGATCGTGGAGTCTAGCACGTGGGCATAGTCGCTCCTGGACTCCGGGCCCTCGCTGTCGTCGTCCTCGGGCTCCGCGAGTCGGGAGCTGCCCAGCCGGTTGGGCCTCCGCTCCAGGGAGCGCCTGCACTCCACGCCCCCGTCCTCCACCAGCGCCTCCAAGCCCCGCAGCCGGCGCTTCTCTCCCCGCTCCCGGCTGGATTTGCTGTCCTTGTCCACGTACAGCTCCACCAGCTCGTAGTACTGCTCCTGCGAGCTGTCCCGCCGGGCCAGGGGCAGCGGGCCTC